ACTGCATTTTTCAAGGACTGATATTTTGTGCTGGTATGATCAGAGAAAACGACCCTTCTCTTTGTCAGGACTGAAATCCAGGGTACACACCCAAGCTCATGAATGCCCTCTGAATGGGCACGAGAGGAGGCAGATGGTCCTGTCCCAGAAAACTGCAACGCAAACAACCAGCATGCCGCACTGCTACCCTCTGACTGAACCTGCGCTTTTTTTTATAGCATAAAATCTGCAGTGGTGAGTGGGCATCAGCACTGTCACGCAATGGGCTGCTAGCACACCAGAAGATCACAGTATCTACCAAACATGATAAGTAACTCCATAATGTGCAGAAAGTGGACCTATTCACCTGTTAAACTGGTCATTATTTTAGCTTTAAGGACATCAGGGCTAAAACCTATTCATGCAGTTTACTGATAGAGCGTCTAGCTAAATCGAAAACAAAGGAGCATGCTTCTATTTTCCATCTGTCCAAACACATATAACTATTATAATCTAGACTGATTGGTCATAGAACATTCATTAGTGATGCAGCATCCTTTCCAGAAGCATCTGCCAAGCCCTCTAGCAGTGTAGCTGTTGAATCCCTGCCCAGGAGAAAGAGGCTATTTTGGGCCTTACCTGTTACAGTGCTAGCCATTTTGCAGGTGGATGTGGTCAGATGAAGGGCAGAAGAGTAAAGAGGATGAAAAATAGAGAATGTGAAAGAAGAAAAGGCTGGAAAAGGAAAGAGAAAAGGTGTCTCGGAGCTCAGAGCCGAGCTGTTGTTCTTTACTGGCTGGAGGAGGATGGTGGAGAGAGGTATGCAGCGGGAGTCAGAGAAAGGGAGGGGAGACGGATGGGTAGAGAAAGAGAGGGAGGGGGAGAGAGAGGGGGTGGGGGGGTGGATGAGGTAGAATGCATAAGAGGCTGAGAGAAGCAATTAGTGTGACTATACAATTGAATTTTGTTGAATTTGTATGTGAAGACAGAGTAATATGACTGAGATAAGGCAGTGCAGTGCTGTTGTCTAGGAAACAAAGAGCAGATTTGCTGCTTATGAAAGCAAACACTCTTACAGTAGAAATACTAGGTGAGCCTCTAGGAGTGTGTCGTAATGAAATATATTTCCCAGCACAGAGGTGTAAATGGTGGGCAGTCTTCAATCTGTCACTTCCTCTAAACGCTTTGCCTCATACATCCTTTTTCCACATTAAGCAACAGCCTATTTAAATGTCACCTACACAACTACTCAATAACATTAGTGTCTTTTGCTATTTTCAGCTCTACATTTAGTCAGATCAAGATGTTTAACCCTTGTGTGGTGTTGATGTTTTTGTTGCTCAGTGGTCTCATTATTTTTTTCAGCCATAACAATTTATATAAAAATACCATAATAATAATAATGTTTAAAATATCTCAAGTGGCCAGTGTAGGGTTCCTCTTTAGCAGCTGTAGCCAGTCAGCAGCCTGTCCATGTTGTCCACACTTACACACACACACACACACACACACTAACAGCAGGCCATGTAGGAGGAGAAGAGTGAAGGGACACAGCACTTCCACCCTTTCATTTCCCACAGGTTCACCCCAACACAACACTGAAAATGGGTCCTACAGACTCGAACACCACACAAGCGTTAATCAGTGGCTTGGATTCTGGGACTTTATAGGTCTAGGAATGGAAATTTTTCCTGGACAGACATCCAAAATCCAGGACAATACACAAAAATACTGCACAGGTGGCAACCATAGCTAGCTACAGTGCAATCTGAATAATATGGTCTCTTATATGAGCGTTACAATATACATGAGTGGCATACAGTATCAGAAATAAGCATCTTAACAAACGGCTATTTTTGCATACTTGGATTTGATTTTTTAGGGACAGTTTTCATCTTCATAAGGACATGTGTTGTTCAGTAGGCCCATTCTCAGATAGATTTAGGCCATTTCACCCAAAAGCATATCATGTTTTGCCCCCATTATTCAACTCACCAACTATTTTTTAAACTTATTACATGAACTAATCCACCCACAAGCAACTATGGTGGCTGCAGAAGCACTAAAATCACATTTCACCAAAACTACATAAAAAAATTTACACCAAACAGTCAACCTGAAATCAAAATAGACCCTTTTCATCTTGTTCATAATGTCCTCGGTCATATTAAGCATGAATCATCACAATGATCTAAATCATCTCAGAACTGCACAGATCTAAGACGTGTTTCAGGCCCAACCTCCAGCTTCTAAAGCACAGTTATGTAATCTGAGTCTTCATGCACAATTTATGTCCTTTCATGAGTTGCGTGCAAGGGGCTTGAGTTGTCATGCTCCTCTGCATAAGGGAGCCGTGTGCTAAAAGCTAGCTCAGGTCAACCTCCTTTGCCATTTCATCTACAGCGGCTGTTTAAATGGAGTTACGTAGAGTAACATAGAGTTTATGTGATGTTTGCATTATGTACAAAATGTACTTTCAGGTATGAGTTGATCTAAGGATTTGGCAGGGTTGTGGGTAGAGAGCCTTTTCAGATGATAGTGTCAGATCTACAAGGTTTTACAAGGACTTTACAAGGTTCTATTAAAGCTTGGAGTGATCTCCAATGCCACGTACAATATATCAAAGTCCAAAGCCTTAACATTAATGCATGGGAATTGCCAAGGGACTTACCCTGCACAGCGTTATAAATGACTTACTCTTACATTATCATATCATAAAATCATGAGTAGGGTTGTGCCTCATGAATGTTTGTAATTCATAAATTCTGTGGTGTGGTTCCTGATGTAGAGAGTGAACTGAAACACTCTACAATCTGTATGGAGTTATGCAAATTTATATCTTTAATATGGATCTATCTTAATCATGGACCCCTAGAAGGATGGGGTCCCAGTCATTGAAGGTTATTCCGCCTGCCTCTTACTGAGTCACTGACTGAGTGACTGATGAAATGCACACGCAGCAGGTGGGGCTATAACTATCACATCACCCTCATATCTTCACAAAGCTACCAATATACGGCCAACAAATAATGTAGGAAAGCAGAAAGGCCTTCATTGAAACGTCATGGGTCTTGTGGAAACCTAATAAGAGGTCAGATCATGGGGAAAGTCCTGAGCTGGAGGTTAGGGAACCAGCCTTGTGACTGGAAGGTCGCTGGTTCGATCCCCTGAGCTGACAGTACGTGACTGAAGTACACTTGAGCAAGGCACCTAACCCCCAGTTGTTCCCTGGGTGCTGTGGATAGGGCTGCCCACTGCTCCGAGCAATGTATGTTCACTAGTGTGTATGTGGTGTTTCACTGCAAGGAGGTGAAATTTCCCTGTTGTGGGACTAATAAGGGTCACATAATCTTAACAACACAGCAGTGAGTGTGTGTATTTGAGCTTGTGTCTGACTTCAGTAGGATGTTTTCCTTCATCTTGCTGTGCAAGCAGCTTTATTTAGTTATATATTTGACTTAAGATACAGCTACGAAACATTTGTACATATTCAGTAACTTACCAGAATAAGATGGAATGTTTCTTTCAGTTAAACAATGCACCAAGTTAACATTAGATAGCCCGAGAGCTATGATGCTAGCAGTTTTTGCTCATACACTCTTATGAGAAAATGCACATTTAGCACAACTCTACACAATTCTGGGTAACTGTAGAGATTTGTGTGAGTGTGAGGAGAAATCATCTGATTCTGATAGCTATGTTACTATGCTAATAATAGTCTGTTATTATCGTTTAGACCTAAAGACAGTAGACACACCAAAATTATGAAATGAAATATCATGGATCAAAAATTAGAACACAGATTTATCCACTACTACTCCTTTTCCAGCACAGGATGGCAACCGAAATTTGGGCTTCACTATACAAAACCATGTGCACATCTTTCAGAATCTGGCACAGGTGCAGGACACAAAAGGGATACTGACACCCCTCATTTACTATAGCAAAAAAAGGGCCTTAACCAGAGAGTGGCAGGTAGATTTGCCACCCAGTATGTATACATACACACAAATGTATATCTTTTTACTTTTTGGGAGAATCACCATCACAGAAATTCTGAAAGGGCTTTTTATACATATGTATGTATGTATGTACATTTATATTTATATATATTCATCTGGGGCATCCTCAGAATTTAGTCTAGTTGATGGTAAATTTCCAAACACTGAAGGAGACAGACAGAAGCTGGGGAGGGGCAGCAGCACGGGGCCCAACAGGTTTCAGGGGGATGGGAGTCTTTAATGTAGCCTGTCAGAGAGGAAAGCAGGGGGAGGGAGGCATGCAGTGAGGAGCACAAAATAAATGCAGACTCACGCCCTTAGGACCAGGAAGAAACCAGCACCAGTTAAATAAGGTGGTGAACTCATGCACATGCAGATGGCTACACACACGGACACAGATGGGAGCATGTGCAGACGCAGATAAAGAGAGACTCACGTAACATAAAACAAATTAGTCACACCCATTGATTCACACTGGTGGACTAGTATCAGTTAACATTCTTGCTCGTCATGGTGTTTATGCATTGAAAAGCCTCTTTTCTACATTTTCATTATTTATCACTCCCAGTTCAGTGAAACAAGCAGAGAAAATGCTGATTTCTAACTTTTTAATTGAATCACATTTTATTTTTATTTGAATTTGATGCAAAGTTAAAGCTCTGTGTACAGTAATGGAGAATGTGCTGTATATGGTTCTTTAAACCTAAAAATAGTTCTGTACAGCACCAGAAAGTGTTGCACTACTTACACAGAACCTTTTATTGTCATAAAACCTTCTTTTCTAAGAGTGTACAGAATGTAAAACAAATGTAAACACAATGTAAGAGCAACATTAATTACTTATGTCATTACAAAGAAATAAAGTACCTAATGTATAATGATATTACAATAATAACTCCTATAAGCGTTACACTGAAAAGTAAATGAATGTTACTCATATATGGGTGTGGTGTTTCGTGTCCTCTGTTCCAAAAGAACCAGACTAATGTTTGTTCGTAAACAGAGCTCACAGAGGCTTCAGAGGTTTCCCACTTCATTGTTTATTACAGAATGTCAATAAGTCATTAAAAATCTGATAAATTTGAGGGCTGAAAAATAAAGAAATAACACTTAAAATGACATTAATCATCAAGGATTCGGAATTTGAGAGGAGAAGAAAAAAACAAAAACAAATTTTATTTAGTGTTAAGGAGCAGAAAAAAATATTTATATGCATTCACTCCCACTAAAAAAGAGCCTATTAAATACACAAAGATCAAACCTCAGAGGTCTGCTGATGAAGTTTGCACCAACATGAGTTTCTACACCACAGCATACTTCTCACTAAGTAAACTGTCACTCCTTTAATGTGTAGTAACAACCTACATGACAGTCCAGTTCAAATGGCTGGTGCAAATGCAAGCACTGTAATAAGATTCACCTGAACAACCTCCGGACTGATTTTACTGAATCTCTCACACATTCACATCACACATACACACATCTAAAGCCTCTGAACTGGGGGTCTATGTGATGTCCTTTTGTCGAGGTGGACGATGTATGTTCCGGACCACGCACTTCACCATCCACTCAATTCCTTCGTTCACCCCCTGACTGAGAAAACAGCAGCATAAAAATGGCCCAATAAGCACAATAAAATGTCATATATTACAGAGTTTTATTACTGCGGCACTTCGGTATAACAATATAACTACTACAACTGTCAGCCTGGCAACATAAGAATGAAAGCTCAGCTACTATAAATGGAAACATAATTTATGAAATGCGGAGTATGCCAGATGTTCAGAGTATTAAGAGTATTTATCAAAATACTGACAATTGTATACGTTATTTTTTTTTCAATACACATTTTATCCCTGTAAAGCTAACCAGGATGTGTTTTTTTTTCCTTTTAAGAAAGCTGCAGCACAACAGGAGGCTTCTATTTCCATGCCCAGAATAAATAATACATACGTGAGAAAGAGCAATGCGGACAAACTTACCCTGTTAGAGCAGTGCAAGGCTGGACCAGGCAGTCCCGTTTGCCGATTTTGGGGGCACAGTCACTAAACGCTGTCTTAATGTCTGGTACAGACAGACAATTCTGGGGGAGAGATGCATACATACAAACATTATACCTGTAATAATATATTAATTCTGACATCTGTTGGTAAAACTAGCCTGTCATTAAGGGTGGCCATGTGACAGGGTAGTATGCACGTAATATGAGAAAGGTGTTGGCAGAACATGTTATCAGCTTAGTGGGGGGTCCTTTCTGATTGTTTGGAGAGTCCAGCTAGTAATAGGCTTAATTCTAGACAATGTTATTATTACTGCTCATATTAATTTTCCACTTATAAGTAGCAAACTAAGATGTTTTTGCTCCTGAAGGTCATACAAAAGCCCAAAACATTTAGCAGACAATGTGATGTGAATCAAACGAAGACATTTAGGTTTAGACAGTAAACAGTACAACTGTTTAATAAATAAAAAAAATCCAACATAATAATAATCCAATGACATTATGAGTTAAAGCAGATCTAGCATACAGATCATCATGAGACAGTGATGAAAATGCCTGAGGCCCAAGAAGCTCAGCTTCTTGCTACATGATATGATAGTCATATGTATCCAGCTAGAGGGTACAACAACACAGCAGCATTATCTATTAATAATGTCAAAAAAAAACAGTCATATGCAATAGTTTGAACACACTCAGTCAAACTGTGTTTTGTTAACTTAAGTGAAAATAAGTTAACACTGGCATTTTTCTGCTCATTTTAGTGAAAAATTTCTATTTGCCTAGTTTAAAATATTGGGAAAAAAAAACATATAAAATGTGCCATAATGTTTGCACAGGCCATGTTTTCTGTTTTATTATTTTTTAATATGTTATATTCAGCATATAAACAGTGAAGATTGTTCACTGTAGAGGATGTGTTAACTTATTTTCACTTAGAAAATCAACAAAAACATGTTATATGCCCAGAGGTGCCCAAACTTTGTATATGATTGTATATGTATATATAAACACTTATATGTGGGTTTTAAGAAAGTTGCAGCACAACTGGAGGATTCTATTTCCATGGCCAGAACTAAATACCATGTGATTTACAACCGTTCTTACTGGTAATAGCAGATACTCATTGGTAATAATAATAATCATTTGCATGTTAAATTGTGTATAAATATGAATACATAAAACTGTTTAAATGTTTATATTTAAACAACTCTTAATAACAACTAGAACAGCATGAAAAGTCACTTTCACACTGGAGATGTTGGGATACTTGAAAATATAGCCCCACCTAGGGACTGAAAACAAAAAGCACCTTTATATCCGAGGAGCACTGCTCTGTAAGTGATTCAAGTCTATAAAGATACATTATCAGGACAAAACATTTAATAAGTGAGCACATACCTCTACATCTTGCTTATTTGCAAGCACAAGAAGAGGAACACTTTCAAGAGCTTCACTACTAATCATCTTCTCTGAGGAGAAAACAGATCAGAAATCATTAAATTAATGTTCAGTAAATCTATTTTAACAATTCTCTATAAACTGATCAATTAATATTTGATACTTTGATTATTAAAAATGAATCCTGTATAGTACACTACTCTAAGGACAGCACAACAGACCCTGGTACTTCTCCAACACACAAGCAATCACTCACCAAATGCATTCTTTGACTCAGTCAATCGCTCTTCATCAGTGGAGTCAATAACATAGATAACACCATGAGATTCTGCATAGTACTGAGGAAAGAAAAAGGTAAATAAAGGTAGAAAGTGGATGAAATAAAAATTTATATAGAACTGCGGCCTCGTGGCCACAAAATCAAACATGGCCTGCTTTTCTATTACAGTCATCAGAAGCAACTGGAGGAGCGATTACATTCTGTACTTGTCATAGCAAAACAATGTGGCAGACCAGTAATGAGTCAGATATGGCAATGTCTCCTTTCATTAAACTGGCATCAGCTAATAGGGCTAGACTGGTAGGAACTAATCTATTGGCAGCAATGTGACTGACATGAAATATGAACTCACTTTGTCCCATAAAGACTGCAATTCTTCTTGTCCTCCAAGATCCCAGAACATCAGGCGTGCTTTACCCACATCAATGGTGCCAACTGTGCAGAGAGGCAAGCTATGTTACACACACACACTTAAAAAGGCGGTTCTTCAAGGGTTTTTTAGTAAAGGCAATAGTTAGATGTCATGTTTAGGACAATGAGTTTGAAGGGATATAGATTATCTCCCATAATTAAATTTGAATCTTTTTAAAATATAATATTTTTGCGTAAGAATATATTTCTTACAGCTTAGAATAATAGTTATTCAGCTTTTGTGTCTCTGTGAGGCTGTAACGTTCCTTTAGAAGGAGACGCTGTGACACAGTAGATAATAACTTATTTATGCCCATCTCCAATTTATCTTACCAGACATGGCGGTGGCCTACGGTACAGAAAACAGAACTGGGTATTTCCATTGTATAACTGGATGAAAGGTGACCATTCAGGAACCTTCAAAGCTTTTGGCCTGAGGACAGCAACTCTTGCTGTTGTCTTTAAAATGTATATGAGGGATACTATATTTGTTGACTTAATCTCACCAATACCACCAAGTTCAGCTTTGTTTCTGAGCGTGTACGAGTCGGTGTTATAATAGTTAATAGTTATAGTAATTGCAACGATAAATTAGCTAATTTATCAAACAGACTAGAACCATTCAGGGTCAGGAAGCTGATGTTAATTTGACACTGCTCCATGTTGATTAGTGTAATCCAATGTTCTTTTACTTAGTCATTAGTATTAGGTTTGATACACCTTTATTGACCAATCGTAGAGATACTGGTAGATTTGATTGTAATATAGCCAATAAGAAGTCACATATTTGATTATGGTTTATTTATATGTAATTTGCATAAAGGTATATCTGCTTTGACCAAGACTTCAAGACTGCGTTAGTTGGGGTGCTCTCACCTCTCTTTCTCTCTCTCGCTCTCCCCTAAATGGGGTTCTTCTACTGTTACAAGCTTGAAATCAGAACAATAGCAGAACACTTTTTGTGCTATATAGAACCATTTTTAAAAATATTATACATGGAACCATATACAACACATTCCACAGCAATCTGAAAAAGCTTTTTCACCATGCAAAGAAACTATTTAAGCATGACATAGTTCTATATAGAACTTATGGTTCTAAACAGAACCACTGCCTATACTAAACAATCCTTGAAGAACCATCTTTCTTATGTATTCAAGACTTTTAACTTTTCTTATCGAATACAATAAAGAGCATGTTGTCACTTACTGTTCAATCCGACAGTGGTTGTGATTTTGGAAAGGCTCATTCCTTTATAGTTCTTGCTGAATTTTGTTTTTGTCTGCTCCAGGAATGTCTAGAAGATAAACCAAAGCTAATTAAACATCCCATCTCACCTTCAAGGCATCCACAATCACAATCAGAGGCGTAGAATGGAGAAAGAAGCGTTGCTGCCTGTCTTTTTTACGTCATTACGCTTTCTTGAAAAAGAACTGACAAGAAATAGATTCAATTATTATTAACCGGTTATTATTAGTAAATACGTACCGTTTTGCCTGCATTATCAAGTCCAAGAATCAAAATGCAGTACTCGTCCTTCTGAAACATGTACTTGTAAAGACCCGACAGTAAGGTGTACATCCTAACCGGTATGGATCTCACATCACTTCGCCTTAGGAAAAAGAAAGTTTTGTAAAATTCGCTTCGCCGCTCGCTAACTAGCACAGGAAACTAACTAGCTAACGCTAGCTAGCTCACCAAGCAAGACTAATTTACACCAAAAAAAGCGCGGACTTTTACTAAAGACCACGACAGCAGTCTGTACATAGGTGCGATTATAGGAAATAAACAGAGGTATATCGATTAAAAGCTTTCTTTCGATAATAGCAAGCCAGTGATTCTGTTACGCTCCTTCATATTTAGCTCCATACAGCTTGTAAACACGTCCTAGGAAGTTGCTGACGAAATGTGAGGGTGCATTATGGGAATTGTAGTGAAAGGGTTACGCTGCGCTTCCTGAATAATCACATGCCACAGTGTAAAGCTGTGTGTGTACGTAGCCCCCAATAAAGTCTGGCCATGGCGTGTATGTTTATGTATGTATGTATGTATGTATGTATGTATGTATTTGATTCAGTGATTCGTTCATTCATCATTTCGTTACGTTTTTGAAAGTTATTGGTATACACCATAAATGCATTGTTAGAATGTTTTATTAATAGAAAATGTAAAAGAAAAAAAAACAGCAAAAGGCTGGAATCAAACTTATTTTTAATTCAGACACATGTGTGTTATACTTAATGAATTAAAAATAATCAAACACACATAATCCCATAAAAAATCTCAGGTCTTAGAACTAGTGTTTCATTAGCGTGGGGTGTGTGCTGTTTCAAATGGTCTCCTTGTTAGTTGATCATTAAATATGTCAGTTTTGAGATAGATTGTTTTAATATGTAAATGGAATGAACAGCCCATCTCACCTCTTTTATCCCTCTCTACCCTCTTTTTCTATATGAATACACCCATATGTGGAGCTCCATTACTGCAGTTAACAGTGAGACACATGGAAGCATCCTTTGATGACCAACCAACACACAAATCATGATGACTGTATATCATTAAGGCATTTAGACAAATCTATTTTCTCTGGGCCATCAAACCACAATGTGGCTTTAAGAGGACAAGGGGCCTCATTCACTAAATGGCACAAATGATCCATCTCACCACTAATTTCTCTTTTTACTCTTTTTGTATCTGAAAAGCATAGTTGGAGCATCAGTTGATTAACTACTGTAGACTCTTTGGTCTAGATGCCTCTGTGTTTGTATTGTTTGTATTTTCTCTTATATGAATCATTCTACTGACCTGGTTCAAAGTTGAAAAACACATTTGAAAGCACATTTCAGACTTCAGACTTTTAACTGAATTGGACTTTAGACTACAATCCTTTTTGGTTTGAATGACCCTATACCATAATTATGTTTATTTTATTAAAATAAATGATTAAGCTTTCCATTTTGAGCAGAACACAAAAATGCTTGCCAGTACATGACTAACAAACACAGCCTTGAACAGCTGTACACATATAAAATCATAATATTTTTCATTAAAACACAAAAAAGTTGACTTATTTGCAGAAAAAATATATGTTTCAGTAGTGAGAATTGTTAATGTTACACACTGATTTTCAGACTTTGGGGCACATTTACTCCTAAACATTGGGATCTAACTGCTCCCCATGTGGCCATTAAGGACAGAAATGCAGCCTTACTACCTGCTCTTAAATGCATGGGTGTGGCTGAAATAAGGCTCTGCCTAGGAACTAAAACTTTGTGTTTCAGGAGTGACGTGAAAACGTGGGGCAGCTTTTTTTGAATAAAAATTTTTTCATTTAAAAATTAAACATGATAAATCTAAATCTTTTTTTGTGTGATTTGTTTCCCAGTGGCCATCATTTAATACATAGACTCATGATGTAACCTGATAATGAATGAGTCTATTTTCAAATGTTTTTAAAGCAGTGCCATCTGGGTGATCGAAGGTCAGACACACTAATTTGTGGTTTTCGTACTTTTTTCTTTATGCACAGAGATTTCTCCAGATGTCCTGAATCTTAATGATATTAAGCCCTGTAGTGGGTGAAATATGTAAAATCCATTTTTGGCTTGAGCTTTGTCCAGTCCTTGCTCATAAAGGACGAGGCCCTTTCTGGATGCTCCTTTTAAACCTAAATATAATTGCATCACCTGTTTAAGGTGTTTTTTGAACATTTCACAATGTTTCTTGTCTTAAATTGCCCCTCTTTTGGAAAGTGTTGCCGGCATTAATTTCAGAATAAGTGTATTTTTACAGAAAGCAATGAATTTAATAAGTAACACTCCATATCTTATCTTTGTACCGTTTTTGTTCAAATACAAGTCAAAGTAGATTCATAAATCACTGCTTTCAGTTTTTATTTGCAAAAACCTACTGTCTCAACTTTTTTGGAACTGAGTTTGTACATTATGAAATTGAACTTTTATGAGTTATGTTAGAAAAAAACCTGCCATGTGTGACAGTAGCTCTTGGAAATTACAGTTCAACTCTACCTATACCTCCAACTCTGTTATATTAAAGAACAATATATTGCTGCTGTCGGAAGTACCTGTTGGAAGTACCTGTTGCCCTTTATATTGTGAGTAAATTTCATGATGAATGGACCAAAAGAAATTACCCAAAATTACCTGGAAAAAATTCTGGTTCCATTGACTCACATTAAAAGTAAAGTATGTTTTTTCCTTCTCCTGTAAAGTTAAAATTTTGGAGATACGAGGTTTTCTTCCGACAACAGCGATATGAGAAGAGTATTTGCAGTGAATTCTGACAACTAGCTAGAACATTAGACTGGATTATGTATTATATTACTTCTGAAACTGTTATTGCACCTGAACTGAATTTGAGTTATTAGTACCATAAACAGCACAAATAACTTGCTTATGGCCAACGATGAGAAAATGAAATTAACCTACTGAGAAGTCAATATGTTCTGCCTGGAGCTGGTCTGCAATATACTGAACACCCTCAATAGCCTGTCTCACAGCAGAGGACAACAAGAAACATAGATCCTTCTCAGCACACATTGTTTTTGATGGTTTTGTGGCTGGCACAGTCTCAGGTCTTCCTGTATTTTATGCTACCTTCTTTTCCTTGAGAAGAGCAGGGAAAGATGGAATGCCTATTCATATTGCTCCCTCTTCCTTGTGCAATCTCTTCATACAAGCAGCAACACTGAAGGCTACGAGAACAATATCAGCTGTAAGCATTACTAGTTTCTTGCGCTCTGGCTTCAAGGCTGTACTGCACACTAAATGAGCACATCTTTTTCTTGCCTTGCAGCCTTTCTCTATTCTTGTGGATACCAGGATTTGAAGGAGAGGCAGATAATTGAGCTGGTGAATCCTTTGGGAGAAAAGAGTAAAAAGGCCTGAAGGGGGGTTGAGGGATGGATGCTTCTGCGGAAGCTCATTCATTGATTGAGTTGGTAAGTGAGGGTCCAGACTCCTCTGTCCGTAACTCAGAGAGGGTGTCTGCTTGTTTTTCTCACTTTCATGGCACATGATCATTCTCCTCCTGCACTGATAACCTCCTGAGGGTGTTCTACACCTCCTGCAGTTGTTCTAGTTCACCACAAGAGGCCGCCTGATGAACAGGAACCGTGGGACAACATCAAGGAAATGCCACTTCGCCCATCTGGGCATGGAGTGAATTTACGGTGACTGGTGGGGCACATTGAGCACAAAGATGGTGATAATGATGGACAGTGTGACAACGACCATTGTGAAGAGCAGGTATTCATCAATTAGTAGAATGACCAGTGGGATGAAAGGAATGATTTCTGTGATCAGCAAGAGGAAAAGGGAGAGGAGCACAGAGATACACATGGTCACTTTCTCACCACAGTCTGAACGCAGGTAAAGACCAGCACAATCGAGAAGGAGACAAACAAACATGGTAAAATGAGATTAATGGTACAGAACAATGGCAGTCTTCTGATGACGAAGGAGTAGGAAATATCAGCGTGCACCTCTGAGCAGCACTGATACTTGAGATTGTAGTTGCCCACAGCACTCACAATCATCCACTCCCCACCCTCCCAGTAGTCCATCAGGTCCACATGGTTAGCCATCTTTACCAGGTTGATCTTACCATGGTTGTAGGTCCAAGAGCCAAACTTCATGGTGCAGTTTTGTTGGTCGAATGGGACAAAGGTGACATCAATGCTGCAGATGCTCTTATAGATGGCAGGTGGAACCCAAGTGACTTGCCCATTATGGAACAGGTGGGATTTGGTCAGGTGGGTTACTGTGAAGCCCTGTCTGCACTAGAATAGAGCAGAGAAAGCATTCGGTACTAATTATTCCCTTCATGTTTTTTAGCTACTGATCAAATATGCTGAAGATTCATTACTCTATGAAAATGCATTTAAATAACTGTTAAATTTAATGATACATTAGTCACAAAATCTTGATGTGCATTGTGTTTTTTTCCACAGCGAATCATATGACTGGATGTGTTGTGGCCATAACTGCATGCTTTCAATGTCTTAATCAAGACATGATCTAAAATCTCTCGACATTGTTAAGGAAAACCACCAAAGCTATCTGAAGTGCTTTAATTGGTGTACCATAATGTGTTATTACTGGACAAAACAACAGATGGCAAGAACCCCGGCTGTGGAGGGACGTCTCTGAGCTGCAAAACATGATATCTTGGCAAGTGAAAACATCCTAAATCTAGTCAATATATCTAATATTTCTCATTATGAGATAGTGGAATATTATGAGATTGAAATCAGACATTTCTAGATGTTTTAAGTACTTTTATCAAGTGAAATTGCTTTATTCTATTGGCAGATAATTTAACTTGGTTCAAAATGTAATACAATAATGTCTGAAACAAGCAAATTTATCTGCCAGTGGACTAAGACAGTATGGAATAAGGCAGTTTCACTAGATAAAATGGCTTAAAACAAGTAAATAATATCTAGAAATAAGTTAATCTTAAAATATTCTTACAACAGTCTTAAAATGAGAAATATTTGATATAATGACTAGATTTGTTCATTTTACTTGCCAAGATAACATTTTGTGCAGTGTCTTTGTCATTTTTAGCCTATAACTCTTTGTAAGCAGTGTAAGAATGCTCATTTAAGATCTGAGCAGATCCTAATGCTGATTAAATGGGTAGCAGGACCTGATCTTATATCAGCACTCAGGACTCTGAGACACTTCATAAATGTAGACTCAGGGGTTCTTTCTAGACATACTTATTGTACAGTACTATATCAGGCCTCCGTATGAACGGAGCTGGCATCCTAATAGATAGAATATTTGCATAATTTCCAGGGTTCCAGCACAACTTATAGTCATTCCATTCCTGTAACTATCAGCAGGAGAGCAAGTAGTTGTGAATAAAAGGGACTTTTATTACAACTTGTGTATAATAGAGAGCCAACATCTTGATTTCATATGGGAAATACTCACATTCTTCACCCATATGTGAGTAGTCATTATTTGATTCCATTCATCCTGGATGTTTGCATTAAAAATAATGTTAACATAAAATATTATTGTGTATTTTAATAAGAAAACCACTGTAATGAAAATATTCATCACGTTGTTATGTTTTGGTTAATACAATGATGGATAATTATACATCGCCACATAAACAGTGCTAATGAAAGGCCTTCGCTAATGTAGCGATTGGTGCCTCAGGTTTATGGATGTTTTGGTTTGTAGTTCTCACCACATCGATCAATGGAGCAATGGAGAGTCCAAAGTGAACACGCAGTACATCAGTGACGGTGGGAATGGGCCGGGTGAGTTTATTATTGCCAGAAAACAGAGTTCTTAGAAGCGTCTCCTCAGCTTGTTCCCGAGCATTACTGCAGCTGCAGTCTGAGAGAAAGAAGATAAACAGAGTGTAGAAAGATACAGTAAGAGTCACAGGTAGAAAAGAAAGAAAGAAAGAAAGGCAGCTAAGGTGAGTTTGAGTAGCTGCTTATGTGAGTGAATCTCTTGTAAATGACACCATAATGTCAGTGACTCCTCTGGGAACAGCTTTTGTTGAGAGGACACAGCTGTAACTGGTTGGTTTTAAGATTAAAAGGGTGGAGTTAAAGTGGCAGTAGGGTTGCACAAAGGTAAACCTGTGGGCTGAGAATTATGAGGTTCTATCTGACAATGTTGTCAAAATTAAGTTATGTACAAATAGTTAATCAGTTAGTGCTGATATGTTGCTGTGGTGATTTTTTTTAGAACTTTTTTGTTCCTGCAGTCCAACCAGTTTGTCTGATGAACATGGGAGAACCAATCAAACTTCATGTTTTACTCATGTACTTAAACTCTGTTCAGAGGACCTAACAGCTTGATTATGATATTGGATAGCTTTTAGACTTCTTAAACACTTTGGCAAGAAACTATATTGATAAAAATACTGTAAATACTGTAGATTAACCAACCAGCTAAAAATATAGTCAGTTTTAAAGGTAGAGGCACTTACTTAGTGAGTGAAATCTATTGCTAATGTTAGCAAAAGTGAATTCATCATCTCTACAAACAGAAAACTAACTTACTAAATCAGCCATATTGGTCATCTTAGGAGGTTAGTTTACCAGGAAATAAAGTATAATGTTGCATGCATAGCTAGCATGCACCTTGCTAACGTACCTCCTGTACCTAATTAGTTAATTTACCTAATCTGCAAATCACCAAGCTAATTTTCAGAGTTGCAAGATAATTTAGCTGATCAGCCCATATGGAAATCTGATTTATGGCAATATATGGATTTCAAATATATCACTTATATTATCAGATATGGATTTCCCTTATACCCAACTTATAGTCACATATGGATGTACATGTGACATACATGGCAACTTATTTGACACTGACCATTTTCAAACATAGGACATATATTTCCATCATATTCCACAATATATAAGCATACATGTGTAAGACATATTTAACAATATATGGTAGAAAGCATTAATCATATATAGGTGACATATACTACTCATATATGCTAGCTTCATGTTATAAAAGTTTAGATAACACTGGTGCATTTCATTTAAATTTTTTATGCTTTAAAAGGTCATATATGTATGATCCATGCATCAGACATATGTATCAGACATAGACAGACAGTATATATGTGATCCATATTTTATGCATATGCATTCACCTGCGTATCAGACATATATGTATGGCCCATATATACATATATATGGGCCATACATAACGTGTAGGCACCCATGGTCAAATTACATGCTTTTTTGATTTCCTAAATGAAAATAAATACACATCCTCTACAGCAGGAGTGTCCAGTCTTATCTTTGAAGGGCCGGTGTATCTCCTGGATATCATTGCAAACAAGCTGGAGCACACCTGCATCCACTTGCTTAGTCAGTTGGTCTCAATCTTCAACAACCAATCATGTGTCCTCCTGCCACACTGGAGCTTTGATTAGATTAGACACCCCTGCTCTACAGAGATCTGCACATTTTAATGCACAATTACTTTTTATTTGCTGAATTTAACATATGAGGAAAAAATAAAACAAATAACTTTGAAAATCCATAAAACATGTGATTTAATTAGGGGGGGTTCAAACTTTTGCATACAACTATATGTACAATGGAGTCCAAACTACTGGTGTAAACATTCTTATATTCTGCATTCTTTTCTAATATAAAACTGAATATTCAATCAGCATAACAATTTGAATGAAAAGCACAATGTTTGACATTTTAATATGAGTTTCAACATTTCCAAATGTTTCAGAGTTTCAGAGTAGTTGATATGTTCTTGCTTTAATGACAGTGTGCACTCAAGCTGGCATGGATATCATAAAAGGGCAAAAGCCTCTGATCAGTAGTTTAAACCCACCTGACAGTCGCCTGAACACGTTTCAATAGAAGACAAAAGATTTTTAAAATTTTATCCTTTTGGCACAAAGGCCTCAAATTTCAGTAGTGACCTAGGTAGAGTGCAGTACTGGAATATTTCTTCTTCATGAACTTTTCTGAAATGTTCTGTTGTTTATTTCCATGTTTAAATGAAAAAAAAAAATCCAAGATTTTGAATGTGGTCTTAGATTTTTGGACCCCACTGTAATTAGAGAGAGCGAGAGAGTTACAAACTAGAGAAACAGATGAAGACTGTGTGTGGGGGCGTTTCAGCCTGCATGGTGATCGACAGCCCTGGACAGCAGGCAGTTCTGGCCGTCATTGCTTTGCAGCAGGAAGAATAGGTGCAATTCAGTCGTACATGTTTGAAGCTGGATGGGGAGTGGTTCTGAGTGGAGGATGGGGAAGCATTCAGAGTAGCTTTTCTTGGAATTCCTTTGTGGTGCTCTGTTCAAACAGATGCTCTCCAATCTCCTAATGCACTCTTTAGCCATTGTCATACCAGGGAAATGGAGCAGTATAGTCCACAGAAGTAATTAGTGTCTTATTCACAAAGCACGCTGTTCCACTCTCTCCCCATCTCAGTGACCATCTTTGATTCAACAAAGCTAAGTTTTGTGAAGCTATATTGATATTTCACAATATGTATTACTCAGATTGAATTAACAGTTAATGAAGGAAAAGTATAGCTTTATTTTTGATTAATCTACCAAAAAAGCCTTTGTTGCTTTGTTTATTTAAGCACTTGTACCTAGGGCTCTTGTAGGCTGCTGTATGCGAAATTATACAGCCTGGTATCATTTGCATCTTAATTTTTAGGTACCTTAATTTAACTTACCTCTTTTATTAAGACAACACATACATTCCGCTGCATCTGCATGACAGTAAAGTGAAGTGTGGTGTAATTAAAGTGCGATTAGTATAACTTATATAATTAGCACTGTAGAACTTAATTACCCACGATTATAATTCTGCTCCCTTAGGCGACACCTCAGCCATGTCTAAATTTAGATATATGCATTGATTTAAACATTTATTTATTATTTTATCCACAGTGATTAATGTCGGCCCATGAAAAACGTATTATGTTCCATAGAGTTATGAAATGTTGTCAGACAAAAGTTTTACCTTGCAGAGGGAGGAAAGCCATCAGAAAGCCCAACAGGGGATAACAATAGAGGGAGGGCATTGTGTGATGACTCAAGCTTTCTATTCCTGCAATCTGTAAAAGCTTGACAGCCTCTCTCTGAGGAATTGTTCAGAGGCAGAGAAGTGCTCCTATTGTTCTTCATTCTTCCACAGAAGTTTGACGATAGCTTCCTTTTCCGAGCTGGTTTCTCTCGAGGGCCAGAAAATGTTCATAAATCATAGACAGACGAGGAATCGTGCAGACAGAGAGGTCATTTTCACTGCTTTTTTAAAAGAGAAATCACTAACACATCAGCATCACTGGCAGTCTGAAGAGACTGCAGAGTACACAGCAAAAAAGTGAAACTCAAAAAGTAAAGCTATATTTCCCTCAGTCTTCTTGAACTGTGTTTCTGGATGACAATTCAGCTTTTTCAACTTCTCTCATTCTCCTCGTCCCCTTAACCCCTCCCACCCCCAGTCTCATCACAAGCAAACACACACGCACATAAGGTCACACATGTCCATTAGAGGCCTGCCCTAGAGAAAGAGGTCTGGCTTTTAGCACAAAATAAAAACACTCAGCCTCCATTCAATTCATCTAGGACTTGCTGACCCTTTCAGCAGCGCATTCACATGAAATATCTGGCTCCAGCAAACGCAGTGTAGGTGTAGGCTTATTTCCTCTCATTCATGTAGCAGCTTTAATGAGTTCCAGACATTCATCTGCCACATTCTAACGACATTCTGGTATCCAAAATTCTACAATGTGTATGAATGCAGTTCTCTGAATGGGTGCATTATGTGCAATACTGTGCAAAAGTCAGAGACCGCCCTTCATTTAATTTCCAGTCAAAATGGCCATTAAAGACAAATTATTCACCTTTTAATTTGTCAGTGTTTGGAGTAAAATTAAACAGAAAAGTACACAGAAACCTCAACAACTAAATATCATATTTTTCAGTATTTAGTGTGTCCAGCTTTGCCCTTTACTACAGCTCCCATTCCTCTTTTGGGAGGTTTAACACACCTCCTAAGTTCAGTCCTAGAAGTTGGTTGGATTTTCAACCAACTTGCTTCACCCAGTCTATTGTTATGGGAACACTTGCAGCTACACATTCTTTCAGACCTATAGTGTTGAGTTGTCTTCTCACAGTGGAAGGATGGACAGAAACACCTGTGGATGTTTTCAGATCTGATGCAAGAGTGGAGCTTGATTTTCTCCTCTCTCTCAAAGATGAAAGCTTTAAGTGCTGTATATCTGATTGGGGTAGTTTTGGTGGTCTACCAGGTCTTGCATGGTTGTTAGGAGTCTCATATGTGTTATGCAAGTGGACTATCTTATATCTAATTTCCTCAGAAATATCTAGAACTAGTACCGTGCAAATTTGAGTCATGCCTTCAATGTATGGTGTGGTTGTATTTGGTGGGGGGGTCTGACTGAGGGAGGGGAGAGAACTCAGAGTTCTGCTTGAAGCTAGAAGGACTGACACTGGATTAAGGAACAGGCATGGTGGAGATTTCATCATGGAAGGGCATTAGATTGGATGGGGGAGGGGGTTCAGGCATGGTCCTCCCCTCACATTTCAGTCATTCCATAACACCATTTGATAACTGTTTTGACTGGCAGTTAAATAAATGAGAGATGGTCTCTGACATTTGCACAGTACTGTACAATGTGCATATCATGGTTCATTTATTGTGCAGTTATTAGAAATATCAATGTTTACTTAAACTAGTTGTTGCTAGATCAGTTTTTGAGGCCATCATGAGTTCACATGGTTTTACTACAGCTCCCAACACACCTAATCCAGATAATCACCATTTTCCAGCCATCTAATTACCAGGCTCAGGTGTGTTAGGATTTGGAACTGGACACAAATCTGGACTGTTTTAGGGCCCACAAGGACTGTATTGGAAATCTGTGTCCTGGATGTTTCAACAGAACCCACAAATCACAGTCCTGGTGTAATAGCCTGTGAAATACAGCAGTAAGACTGCAGCAGCTGTGCAATATTGAACTGCATTTATATTTAACCCATTTGATCTATTTTTGCATTTTAGTGGCTTTGGTATTTAGCATAAACAGTTGTAAGTAGACATATAAGCGTGGGAGTTCATCACTATCTGTCTGACCTTAGTTCTCTGATAGAAAATGTATAAGTCAAGGCCTTTTACGCGGTGAGCACTGTTTTATATGAAGCACTTTGTGCTCTAATATACATTCGCAGCATCCATTTGTAAAATAATTATATACTAATACAAAAACCACTTTAACTCCTCTGCCCTGAGAGACAGAGGAAAAATCGCTCTGAATTTGAATGCAAGTGCAAGTTGTACTCACTACATTTAAACCCTGTAAACAAGAGTGCAATGTGATTCAATAAAGAACCACGCTTCTTTTCTGCAAGTGAAAAGAAATGGTTTACTTGATGGATGAAGCTGTAAAGTGAAAAGACAAGGATAAAAGGACAAGGATAAAAAAGGAAAGTGTCGCATGTCAATATGCACTCTCAGGTTTCTCAAAAGCAGAATACCTGTGGGACTCGCAGTGTACCGGAGCATAAAACTAAACATCAATAATGTCCATTTCAGCTTTCCTCTGTGGATGTGTCAAGGACAGATAGGCTTATGTGCTCGTTCAGCTCTGCACGACTCATACTGAGAAAACACTCATGCACACATGCGCATAGGAACATTCAAACAACTTACCGTCATAACATGTGGATGTACAGTGCTTAATGATTACTTAAAGCTTTTAAAAGACATTCATCTTTTCTTTGAAGCTTGTAACAGACATATTTATATATTTTACTGTGTTTTAGTGATTCCTTTAATAAGAAGACTTGGCATAGAGCTACTGCTGTTTTCCATTTTTAGCATCTGATTGATGCATTGATTCGGCTATCACTCATCTTTGCAGTCAGCAATGTAACTAGAACTAGAAGGCCTAGAGTGAGTTTTTTCCTCACCCTTTGTAAATCAAAACGTAATTGGTTGATTTCACTGTGAGTTCATAATGTTATATGTTATACTGACACTTATGCCTTCAGTCCAGCTCCTGAAGGCCAAACCAATGGGAGAGCTAGCTTGGTTGTATCTACCCAGATACCACAGAGAAAAAAAAACCTGACTGAATTAAAAAAAATTAGACATGTATTATTACCAGACAGACATCATTAGGCCTTCTCTTAAGGAGTAGACTGCCCTGAGCGATCCCCACTGCTAAAGATAGTGGTACTCAGATACTCAGATCACTATACTTACATAATTGAGTTTTTGGTAAACCAGCCTCTTATCACAGATTTTGCACTAAAGATATTTCTTACCGTCCTGTTATTTTAAGTGCTCTCACATGTGATTTATTAAGCACCTCTGCTCTTCTAGCTTTAATGACCATGTGGAAAGTAGTTTAGGTTGTTGCTCTGAGGCAAGATGACATGCATTGAACTAAACCAGCTATAACTGATTTATTTTTAACAGGTTCTGCATTTTAATATAAACTGTTCTATCTGAAGAGTTTTGCTGATAAAATATGTTGAATTTTAGGCTACAATTTTTGAGGCTTGAAAAAAAAAGAAAGACATAAGCACACACAAAACAGATAAACAAATACCAACGTAACGACTGAATACTTAAGTATCTAAATGATTTGTGCCAGCCCTAGTTTAAAGATAACTAGAGCAACTTATCCTGACCTTGTGCTACAGCCATTATTGTTACTAAGCTAAATTTGAAGTAGACAATGCCACTTATTACTACTCTACTTTGACAATAAACCACAAATGTGATGCATAAATATGACAATGTCCTGTTTAGAATCAGAGAAGATACTGCAAAGTACAATAACACAAAGTGGCGATCAACCAGTCTAATAATACAAAGTTTATTATACAGTTCCCATGGGTCCATGGATTCGAGTGACTACACAAGGGATATGCTACATGATAATCAAAAGCTATATTTATGGCATTCAGCGGTTTAAAACATGCTGGCAAGCATTTTTCCCCTCAAAGAAACAAACAAACCAAAAAAAAAGAAATAGTGCCTTTTTTTGCAGAAAACAATCATGGATCTGACAGGACATCATCAACACAATGTAAACTTTGCCATGGTGTCTTGAAAAACAATTGCATTAAAATTACAGACTTTGCAAGGACAACATTATGTTTTATTCAGCTGAAAGCTTGGCTATTGTAAAAAATGTAAACATAAACCATGTAATTGCCACTTGAGACATGAGTAGAAAAGAAAACATAAGGCTTGCAGGATACATGACATGCGTAAAGTATTGCTCTATCTCTGTATCTGTCTTCTGCACAGTCCTGTGTGTTTTCTGGCCTTGGCAGAGATAGACAACCATGTTCTGAGATGTGTTGATAGTATAATGAGGCTGTTAATCACACAGTAACATTATGTATCCAAGAAAGAAACTACACATTTGATTCCAATGACTGGTCCTAGATGCCTTATGGAGCTTACAGTGATACGAATATGTAACTATTTAGGGATGTGGAACTCAACAACAAATCCAAATGCCTTAGAAATCAGGGCCAAACATATTCCCGAGTTATATCTTACGTTTGCGACATATGAGAACCATGGTTGTCTGTGCCTGCCAGCCCTAGAATGAAGATATTTATACACTTGAAAGCAGTTTCCTCTCAAATGAAAACAACATATTGTGTTTATGTTTTTGTGTCCACGTGACAGCATTCAATAATACATTCACAAGCACATTGTGTGTTTAAAACAGATTTTGCAGCGAGAGGACACTTCTACATAACAGAAAACATGGACAAAACTCACATCTGCGTTATCAATAACACCCAAGGCAAATTAGCAAAATACAGTATATTCTTTGGAAAAATCAAAAAATGTTTTTTCTTTAAACCAAGCAAGGCAGCTGTGATGACAAGATATGCAATAAAAACACAAGTCATTGACTATGACAGATATTTCGAAGGTGTTTAACACACCAAGACACCTTTTAGACTTGTGTCGGTGTGCCCAAAAATGCAATTTTTTTTTTTAACATGGTTTTACAACAACCCTATCACTCCTTCCATATGGACAAGTGAGAAATGTCTTTCAAGCATTCCTTATGCATCTGTAAGTTAAGGCCTGCAAACTGTTTCCTTAGCCACATGTTCTGTTAGACTTTGACAAACTCAAGTCTGAAAATCACACAATTTGTTAAGTATGCCTCAACTTAAATGGTCACTTTACTACTGTTCTAGATTTTAAGAAATGTTCTTGGCTCCATAACGCTCTGCCTTTGATGGAGTCGTCGAAACAGTGATAAAGGGAGTTTCTGTGAGTCGTCTTTACTAGACATAAGAACACAGGCTAGATGGAAGACAAAACGGTGCAAACTAAACCGTGCTCTTTGGAGATGCACTTTGTGGAAGGTGCATTTGAAACACGTGACAGGTTCAGCAGTGACTGATGCAGTGTAGATAACAGGTTTCCTTTAGAACCAGGTCTTACATGAGATATGCATGTGCATAAGCTCCAACTAAACCAAGAAGTGTGCACTGCAGAGGGTGTTCGGTTTGAAACGCAGTTGTACCATAATACTATTTACTGCTGGAGGATTTTGTGACCATAACTATCCATGTTCTCACTGTCAGGATAAGATGCAGGATACGTAACCTCTCTGCATCATTAAATGACATGCCTGTCGTTGGGTATCTTAACTATTTAGAAGTTCTACACATTCTTCTCTAAGCAGGTTGTTTGATAATGCAGCATGGATTGATACAGCAGAACATTTTGTGTAACCACAAAAGATTCTGTAGTTGCATAAAATGGGAGAAAGTCAAAAACATTGTATGCATTCTCAGCTGGGTAACTGGCGCTCCCTTGTGGTAATTATAACTACGCTTAAAACTGTGCAATATCAGCACAAGTGAGCAGTAGACAGTTTTGTTGTGTTCTGCTTACTGTAAATGTCCTGACCAGTAAAAGAATTACAGCAAAGACGGTAAAAGTTAATATTATCAATGAACCGACTATCCAAGTTGAATGTTTCTTAAACGAATCAGATGTTAAAGTTAGCCAGTTAATCATGAATAAATATGAAAATTTCCACAAAATGATAACACACTCTCTGACTGATGTAATGTGACTGATGCATAAATTTAGATTTATTAAAGGGGGTCATTAAATTCATGATAATTGTTAATACATATTATATTTAGACATTGCTTTAGCGGTTCTCTTTAGGAAAAGAAAAAAGAATCTGCATAAAAATATTAAGCTTTTTTTCCCTCTTCTTGAAGCCATAATAGTTTGTAGTACGAAATAAACTGCAATTCATCCCTTTTAAATGTTCTTGATTCATGCAAATGATTAAAACTAGGGATTAGATAAAAATGCTGTAAACTCAAGACACTGTGATAGTGTACCTTTCATATATAATTAAAGTGAAACTTTAAGGTATGTTTTGCTGAAGGAGTACAATGCGATATTGTTGAATATTAAGGTGGTGTGATGAAAATAGAAATCAGATTTTTAGCTATTAAGTTGTCATGTTGTGAAGTACATTCATGGGCTAATGTGGACAAAGTGGAACCATTCAGAGTAACAAGTCAGGCTGAACTGGTCACCAAACATTGCCTGCAGGGGTGGACACATGAACTTATGTGCTTTAAGAATAGTATGTGCTTGAATGTGGAGACATACCATGACTTTTTTTTATCCTCAGCTCTTGTCGTCCATCTGGTCTTTCCTTATGCTTTTCTCTCATTTCCATTTTTGTTTAAGAGAGATGCAAGATGACTGATGAACAGACACTTGTCTCTTGAAAGAAGAAATGACCAATGGCACCTTTATAGGTAACAGCCACACGTACCATTTCAAGGTGTCCGAGTAATTCGTAAGTACCAGGAGGTTCCACATTTTGGGCTGTTGGCATTACCACCAAGATCCTGGCACTGATTTTGGAGCTGTATCTGCAAGACGTAGCACTGATTTTAAAGACGACAAATACAGCTTTTCGCCAAGTCTCCCATTGCATTTGGCTTCAGAGGCTGCCATCCACAGTGGTGAATCCCACTTTAAAAGCTTGCTTCAACAACTACTTTGAGCCAGACCAACCCCTGTCACCATAAGCTCCTTCCCCAGTGGCAGAGTGAGGTGAAGGGGCGCAGAGGTCAGAGTCTGTATCGGATTCGCCCTCTGCAATGTAGGGTCTCACTTTAGAGCAGCGTGCCACCCCGCTGAAGTAGGTGTTGTTGAGAAAGTCCAGGTTCTCCTTTGACTGGGAGATGCTGAAGCCACTGAAGGAGCGTTCCAGTTCCTCATGATCCACTGAAGGGATGGATATGGAGGTGTCGCTCTCAGCACCTGCCTGTTGCTGGGATAGACCTCCAGGTTTCCCCTCCTCTAGCCCATTCCCACGAGAGTGGTGCTGCCCCGCACCTCTGGAACCACCGTTATGTCCACCAGAGGAGCGCTCGTGGGCCGGTGGAGGTGGGATGCGTACCAAAGATGGGTCAGCCACAGGGGGAGGTGCCCTGGCTTTGCTGAGGGGGTTCAGGAAGGGCTTGTGGATGCCAGGAGGTGGAGGGATGGCAGTGGGTCTGGTTGGCGCAAGTGGAGGGAGGCGGGTCAAAGTTCTTCTGGCCAACGGAGCTGTTGGAACGGATGATCTTAGTAATGGAGCCGGACTTCTCTATGTGGTCAACCGGGCTATGGTATGGTGGGGCTGGGTCAGGCTCCTTGGACCCAAAGTAGGCATCTGTCTCAGACTGTGGGATTCCCATACGCTGAATGTAGATGTTCACTAGAAAGTCCAGTTTCCTTTCCATTGACATCACCTATGGAAGACCAGAGTTAGGGAAACATCCTGCTTCAGGTTCTGGCCAGCATTAAACCAGAACTTAAATCACTTATTTTGGAGATTGACCACCTTAACTAAGTTACTAAAAGATAAATCATATGGTAAACTATTTAAAATGAACCTTGCTAAGTATAATGCTTAGTATAATTCTAAGCTTCTGAGTAATAATATATAATAATAATAATATGTTCACCAGTATTTTAAGTTGGTTAGTGTTTTAGTACACTGGCTGACAACTTTTAAGTCATCTTGCAAAGGCAGGATATGGAACGAAGATTTTTTGAAAGTTCAGTTTCGCTGATATTGGTATAATTTGCTATGCGTTTTAGATGTGCAGCTCCTATATGAAGTTAAAAACAGAGAGTCCCTAAAGCCAGGAAACTTGAGTCGGAGGGCTCTTAAAAATGTAAGTTTTATACGTTGTATTTCCCTAATTTTATGTTATGTCGTATGTTTTCCATGTTATTCTCTGTGTTTCTAAGCCTTGTTGGAAAGCCAAAAATAGTAGAATTTTTTCCATCATAATAAGTCATACCAATCCTGAACTAATGACACTGCTTCTACTTTGATGTCCTCATTACCCATTAATTTATTATGAAGAGTTACTTTAGTCTTGTAATTTAAATGGAACTGTGTTAATTGCCTATAAAATAATTTGCCACTTATGTAGTTTAGATAACTTGTGTCGAGTGGTATTAATATGATGCTCGATATTTGCTACCATTAGGTGCTAAATTTACCTCACAAGATGAAGAAAGTAAAACTGAAACAGAAACATGCGTGCTAGGTAGCAGAAAATTAGCTATCTAGCTAGCGAGTAAAATATGTAACAGCAGCAGTATGGCTCTTTGCTTCAATTTTTGCATGCTTTTTGTGTGCCTAGTTTTATAGCATTGTTTTATAACAAAGACCCATTTTAAGTCATAATATCAATGTGTGCGGCACATTGAAGAAGTTTTAATGTTTGCAGGTAGCACATGAGCTACAAATACATGCAGAAATGACAATCAGTTGTATTAGTTTTATTGCACTCAGATAACAGTTTTAAAGTAGGCTAGCATTTTTACATCAACTATCTACTGCTAGCATAATGCTAATTTGTATTCCTATGTAACATAAGAAACAAAACCTAACATTTAAATTTAGCTGACTATTCACATAAAACAATGTTTTTTACAGTATAGTCCAGTGCTTGTTGTATACAGTGATTAGTGAATTATATCGCATAGCACCCGAACATTTAACCCTCTTAGGCCCAAATTATATTCCAGGGCAGTACAGAAAATCAAGCTAGAAATGCAAAGCAGACCCTCTTTCAAAATCATAGTGTAATTCACACTCTGCCTAAAAGCACCAGCTTTGTGAAATCTTATAAAGTTTAGTGACCTGTTTCTCTACTTTCACAAGCCTTCCCATCATGCTGGGGTCCTCTGCGATCTCTGTCTCGGTGGTGCTTTTAGGACGGTCCTTGTCTGTGATTTGAGCACCTCTACCCACAATCTGGTCCACTCTACCAATCACAGCAAAGAGAAACAAAATCTAGCATATAGCATACATTCCAGTATCAACTGATTATGTAAAGGTTATGCCAGAAAAGTCTTTGCCAGAACATTTGCAATGTTTTAAATGTGTTAAGGATTAAACAGTAGAAATACAGACAGTAGCATACAGAGAAAAGTAGAATAGGAGGAGATAGGAGACAAGAGGAAATCCCGCACTCCTGCACTACCTCTCTGCCAAGTGCAGAGCATTATAGATGTGACTGAGAGCATGCAGAATGGTGGGTATGGTATGAAGAAGTGTGTCCAGACAGAGAGACAAAGAGAGAAATGGACAAAGGAGAGCCAGGCCCACCAGAAGGACTTACTATTCGCATTGTCTTATAGCATTTGAACAATGTGTCAGTGAAGCTACAAAATGAGGTTGCCTATAGTACCAAATCTATGCAGGTAGGTATTAAAAAAATCCATATACAAGATATGAATTTGTCTGTATGTATATATGAAGTCCATAAATACATATATACAGTAACTTAGGCAAATCACATGCTGATTTTTACTTTTAACATATGAATTTGACACATTATTCAAAATGATATACTACACGTAATATTAAAATAAGATGCACATCTTATTTGTTAGGCTTTGCCCAGAACATTACCTGTTACACTACTTTCAGAGTTTCCTTCAATTAATATATTGAAGCACCAAGTTTTCTTGAACTAACGAACCAACAAAAAAACTGAACAGGTCAACAAAAATGAGCTTACATACATACACCTGATACTCAAACATCCTAAAATGGTCTTTGTGCATTATGTGGCATGCCCATGTTATATGTCATGCCAGCATGCATAAGTATAAGAAAAAACTGCTGAAATTATAACACTACTTGGTCATTGGCACCTTGGCTGCATTTTGCTCGGTCCAGATTTTACATTTCATACAGCGATGCAAGCAAACCAGCTCAACCTGTTTTTGTTCAGCTACTAGTTACTTACCTGTATGGTATATGGTATTTAAAATCCTTGCTTTAACTGTGTGTCAGCCAGACCTATGCAGTGAGTATTAAGTGGGCATGGCAAACGCATGGAAAGGTACAGGACATGCTCAGTTACAACAAACAAAATATATAAAGTGAATCAAGAGTTTGTTAACATTCTCTAATTTAAACCCACAACTGTCCTCGGCAAAGAGCAAAATGTTTCGGGTTCACTGCAAGAGCACTACTGAAGGCACATATAGTGCTTAAAATCCTAAAAAAGGTAATCAATCAATGGTGATAACAATGTAACTTTTCAAGTGCTAAGAAAGCAGAGGTGGGTGTGACCAGTTACATTTACTCAGTTCCATGTACTTTTGATAGATTTGTACTTTAGTATTAGTAAATTAAATTAATAAGAATAATTTTAAATAATATTTTTTACAATTTTTCATGGTTTTGTGAGGAAAGTGATCTATTTTTTACTCTTTTTTCTTTTAGTTATTGATATTTAGTTAATCATTCCTTTTTATTTTCCTTTTGAAAGTAACTAGTAATTACTAGTTACTTTTTACTTTAATTTAATTGTTTTGTTGGTGACAGCATTCGTACTGCTTTGTGTTTTTCACACCTCAAAAAGACCAAAAGCATCCCAAAAGGAGAAGAACACAGCCTAACAAAACTTCAGTTCTTATGCTGATAGATGCTGGATGAACTAAGTTTCACTGAAGTCTATAAGTTACTCAATTCAAAGGTAGTAGTGGACCTAGTACTTTTCTATCCTCACTCAAATTGTTTCCTGAAAAGGTATCTCATTAAAGTAACTAGGGATGCAACAATACAGAGATTATAGGCTGATGCCAATATTTTTCTTGTACATATCTGCCCATGCCCATGGGTGCTGACTTGAGTTAAACATTGGGGCAAGACGTTTAATGCTGGGGAAGTGATGTGGACATTTAGGCAGGATTTGTGGTTGAATATATTTACACTGCATATGAGGAACGCATTGAACTTCAGTTCAGGTTCAGCTTGGGCACGTAGTCTGCTTTCACCAGTCTGCGTGCTCTGCATCTTTACTATAATAAACAGCAACATTTTAGCTCAGCTGTAGCTTTGTCTTGCTCATTTTTCAAAAGACAAAAGGGCCTTCAATGTATAACTGCTTCAGAGATCAGCTATAGCAACCAGAAAAAAAAATGATTGTTTAATTATCACCATAACAAAACGTCAACAGCAAACGGCGACTCAAAGTAAATTTAATTAGTCTCTTGAATTTATTATTGAAGTGCTAATAAACTCCCAGAAACATCAAAATATAACAAAGTAGATAATGTGATTGCTTTGCAGATCATATAGTAAAAAATGGGGAAATCGATTACATTAGATCTGCTCTGAATCCATTCAAACAATTGTCATTATCAAATGAAATAAAACACAGCATTAAGTGAGCTAAGCCTCATGCTGTAAGGGTGTTTTCGCCTTTGGTAGAAGAACAAAATGCCAGGCTAAGGCTAAATGGGGGGAAGATATTTCAGACTGTTTTATGCAGTTTGACTCCCAGGGCTTTTCTAGAGTTTTGCCCTAGAACTGTAAGGGCATTGCCCCCCTGCAACTTTAGTTCAGAGAGGACCCAATGCCCCCTGTAGTTGGCACCTATGCTGTTGCGTAAATGTTTATAAAACGTAAAAATTGGGACTACATCCGTAATTATGAATAAATATAATATTTATTTCTGTAGGTTTACAAATACAGTAAAATTAATAAAATGCAGATATTTTAACACAGTAGCTCAAAGTTGCCTCAACATTCTGTTGTTTAGAGTATAATAACTCTATAAATACATCATCAAATACTGGTATAAAATATCAGTAAAAATGTAAACACCTGTCTGATGCTGATAATATTTGCATATAGCATTGTGATTCGGATATAATTTTGCATCCCTAGAAGTAATAACACCTTTTCTGCAGTATGAGTTTAGGCTACTCCACCCACCTCTATGAGAAAGAATGGTTAATGCTTGTGCGTTGTTTGTGGTAACTGAGCAGCCCAGGAGGTAATGTCCTACCAGTCCTGTAGTCTGAAGCAAAAACAGGTTGTTTTCATTTCCGGCCAGCACACCCAGAAAAAAATTCGACTAGAGCTCTAATACGAGCAAGAGATGCAGTTTGGTGCGTCCTAACCTAGGTGAGAACTGGGGCGACTCTTTGGTTCCTTTGGTTGAATACTTCTTATGGCGGGGAGTGGTGGGACCCGGAGGACCCAATATCATATCTATCCTGGCAAAGCAAATAGAGGAGAGGACAGCACAATGCAGAATGACGTGACACGGACCAGCACAAACGTCAGGGCCATGGGCACATCAGCACAAGGGAGGGGGGAGGGGCAAATATACAACAAACCAACAAAAAAAGAAATTCAAACAGGAAAAGAGACACAAGGACAAATAAGTGAAAATATATTCCAGACATACTTTATGGAATAAACAGCCAAACGGTGGTTTCCTAAAAATTTCGGCTCCTTAAATGAACTAACTGATGCTGTGATCTTGCCAGGACACTGGAGCAAGATTTCTAGACTGAAAGTATGCCTTGACATTATAAGAATGCTCCAGAAGCGGGAATATATTTACAAACTGTATATATTGAATCACTTTATTAAATCACAATACAATATATATACACGCATAGTCCTTTTTGATGGGTTGAATGGAATTGCTCTTAAATGAGAGAAAGTGAATGCTGAATGTCAGAGAGACTTGTTCAGGTCCGTCTTCCCTTGTCCACTCAAAGGATGACTGACCATACTATATGCCTTGTAGATGAACTTAAATTGTCAGTGAAGTTCTTCCATGGTGGGTGAATGTTTACGCACACAAAACATCACAAAATGATAAATTGGTACACACCATGATATTAAACAAACACTATGAAACTGAGAAGACAATTGTTGACCTAAGTGACTGCATGGTGTACGGGGGTGAAAAATGTCACACAGTTCAAACCAGGAAAGACGCAAAAAGAGGGGGGCATGCAAGAAAATTTGTAGCATTATACAACTGTAACAACTGAAGCTATGGCTCCAAATAGTGTTGTCTGTGCATGTATGTGTGTTGGTATAAGAAAGACAGGATAACACACTAAAAAGGGGGGAGAAACTTTCCCCTCTGACAGTTTGAGATTTTTGTGTCTGGTCTTGCCTGGACTGCAGATTTTTAATCCTGGCCAACATGTCTAGGTGTCCAGCTGAATACTGCTCAATAACATCCATCACATCGTAAGGCCGCAGACTCTCCTTAAACTTTCGCTTTGACACCATAAACCTCATAATGCTGCAGAGACAAAGAATTTGCACATCATATGTTAATACAGCTCCAATATACAGCTCCATACAGTACAGTGTCAGTACATCAGCAATAACTTGGCAACTTGGAAGTTGGCATGTTTCAGGATCTGTCATGGCTGCCATGCTAGACTCAGGGGGTAGAGGATAACACAGAGAACCTTCAAGATCCACCACGTTCTGGCTCTTGCTGTTTTAACCCACTGTGCCAATGTCACCCCAAATACTCAAAATAATTCCCCTGACTTTATTTCTAAAAAGTGTCATAGAAGGTGTGCAGCAGCAGGACTGCTGGAATATATTACATGTTTTGTTTAGTGCATAAAAAGTCACCTGAGAACTGGAACTGAGATCATATTAAAATGGAAAATGTCAGAATTATCACGGTTTCTTATACAGCAAGGAACAGCAGGCTACAAACTAATTTACTTTTTACATTTAGAGTGAGGATTAAAAATAAAGGTGCCACAAGGGTTCTTTGACCTGATGTGATAAAAGAACTATCTTTGGACACTGTTTACACCTGGTCGTTTCATCTACGTTGTGTATCTGTATTATATCTGGATAGAGCTTATGCACAAGAAATACAAGCGTAAAAGCACTCAAAAACCATTTAAATCAGATTTAAACCAGTTCAAAAGGGGGTCTCAGACACATTTTTGCCTGACATTACACCCATATAAATGCATTTGTCCAAACCCCACAATACTGTGACAGGGCCACCCTCTGCTGTTCTGCACATGGGGATGAAAACGCACCTAGGGCTGCCACCAATTAAAGAGGAATTCAATGTTTCAAAAAACGGTGCATAATTCAATCACTGGGATGTAGACAAACTCATTGAGAGTGGTCTGAAATGGTGCATTTTAGAGTAATTCACAGACTCAGATTTCTTCACAGTGGTGCTGACCGAAACCAGGGGTGGCAAATATAGCCATTTCATTTACTATCAAAATGACCAGTGAATCTTCATGTGTCTTTTTATATTATAATAACTCTAACTTAAAGATACACATTTTCAAATGTTTATTTGTGTGGGAGCTTTTAAAGGCATTTAACTCTGTAGATGTTTCCTATCACTCCTATCTGAGCAAGTTTCTCTAGAATGGAGCATTTGACAACATACCACTGTCAATGACTTTGTTTACATCTTAACCATTTAATTAAGCAGAAAATTTAAAAAATAGTGGAACTCCCCTGGAACAGAGGCATCACTGCTCTCCTGATGTAAGTTTCTTTTCCATGTTTATTCACTTGCCTACTTTTCAAGCCTTTGGCTGAGCTAGTTAGCTTAAATAAAGCACCAGTTTGATCAACGTTTATTTCGCCTTGTTTTTCACTGTCTTGCTATATTAAGTTTCACAGTTCTAACATACATAGTTCATAACAGCAATAACTACTACAGGAGACTAATTATTATAAACATCCATCTTCTTGTAAACATTGACTGCTGTTGTAAGGAAATGAACAATGCTGTGCAAATATGTGATTTTCTTTTGAAAAGAACAGAAAAAATGAGAAGTAACCCAGGCAATCAGTTGTTGTACATGAGCGTATTTGCATATTAAGGCCACATAGTAATCAGATTTTAATCTGATTAGCTGGAGTGTGAATGCATGTGGTTGAAAACTTGTCAGGTTACAATCCAAACAATAGTCATATAAAACGGCCAGGTGTAAATGGTCTTAGTTTTCGAAAGAACCTTTAAATCAGAGACAGATATCACAGTGTTTTGATTAGAAATCTCTCATTTTAAAAGCTTAGTAGTTGTTAAAGGAAAAATATAGACTGGTATTGGCCAAGAAAAAATTGAGTTCTGTCGTCTCTATTTTAATGGACATTAACAGGATTTACAGGAATACAACTTTTTCAGCATAATCTTCTCCATCTGCTGTTTACAATTGATTCCCAGCAGCAGTTTCAATGTCTCTCTGTTCTCTTGAAAAGAAAAGTAAATCCAGCAGCCTGCAAACTTTCTATCATATCTATTATAAGTGTCTTTTGGGTTAACAGGTTTTCTGTTCTTTTACTAAATACAGGGAAACAAGTCTAAATTATTGTGACCTGGCAGAGATTAGCCAGTTAACCTGCAGGCGCATATTTCAGCTATTATGAGTGTAAGGAGGGAATCTTGCAGTTTATCTTGCAGGGTTAAAAACACTCAATTATTAGGTGGTTCTTCTGGGGAAATCACTCTAAAGATCCCTTTTTGGCATTTTTACTTTTAGGAGTCTAGACTTTCTGCTATTTGCATGTAAGCTTATAATGTCAATTTTCCATTTTGTGATTGTCTCCTTGTTGCTTACCACACAGCCCTGATGGTAACTTTGATCCCTGGTGTTAAATCTTGTGGGACAAACTCACAATGGCAGCTCTTATTGTCATCGACAATGTCTTCTCCAGGAAGGCTGGCTTCTATAAAACACAACATGGACACAGGAGGACTCCAGCATTAGTAAACACGCCCCTTAGCTTCACTTCTGTTTAACTCTTTCACTCTGGGATGGAACCAAGCAGAGGCCAGCCACAGCCATTAACTTGCACAGCTCAGTAGGACAGTTTACAGTTTAATACTGATTGGGTCAGAGCAGGTTAATGGGCAGTGTTCTCATCTCATTGGCCCGGTGATTTCATGGCGGCCCAATGCAAAAGGAGAAGGGGGAGGGTAGGCAGAATTGAGAAGTTTGGGTTTAATAAAGACAACCATGGTCCAAAAGAACATGAGGTCAGTGAGCCAGCAAATATGCAAGGTGGAACTGTTTATATTGCATCTGGCTTCACTGTCATAAACAAAGGCATATAATCAATTAGCGCTGCACTTTAACAGTCTGGCTCCATGAGAGTCTGAATTACAGCCACTCTGCAAAAAGGTTTTGTGAAAACAAAAGATGATTCAAAGTTTTGTGAATAGATTTCTTTGATATTCCAATTTGCAGAGTACCTGTAAGTCAAAAGCTGTTGTTTCATCGAATGGTTAGCAATGTGAGGGAGACTGAAAGGCACTGAAGCAAGAGTGAACAATGCTAATGCTCTTAAAAGCAGCAGTAGGAAAGAGCCTCCAATAAAACACCCTGATCAACTGTTGGCTATATTATTAAGTGTCCAGAACATGGTTCTCCACTACTGACCTTAGGTTGTATTTATCCAGTTCAAACAACTTTTTTTGGATTTTGGAATTTACAATATTAATCAATATCTATTTTTCCATTTCCCCCTGCTGATTGTCATGCTGATGCAATAACTCTGGTCTGCACTATTTCTTATTTGTCACCACAGTTCACCTAGCATGGGAGCTGTAAGAACAGTACTAACTATGCCAGCGAAACCACAGAGCCTGACAAAACTATACATAAATTTGGATCCGAGTGATGCATGAAGGTCTAAAATGGCTTTTTGAAAACTGGGGAGTTGTTTCAGTGCTCTGTGATGCTGGGAGGTCCCATTAGGTGCTAAGTTGCAGGGGCTCTAGAAACTAACCAGCTTTCCTCACATGCAGGAAACAGAGCAGGGTTGCCAGCTGGCTGAGGCTGTTGAGTTGGAATCATGGTGTGATGGGTCCTGCCATGAGCTTATGGAATGGGTCTAGAACAGAAACATGCACTCTTATTGGTTGGTACTGGCTCTAGGGTTCGTAAAAGAGCTTGCTCTAGTGGCCACAATCCCTAGCAGACATGTGATATCGTCTTACTGATCAACCCTTCAATTGCTGCAAAGGTTAGGAGAAGAGAAATGACAATAAAAGCTGGTTAAAAGGTGGCTATCAAGAAATCAAAACAAAGAAAACAGGACTATTTTAAACTGCATAAACACTAAAATGAAATTAAATGGAAAACATCAAGAGGACAGCTTAGATTATGTCAAGCATTTCTGAAACAATATGGCATAAACCTCTTTGAAGGTAAGCTGTTGCTTCATTTAAGAGTTCTACATATAGTGCATTAAGATAAAAGGCAAGCTTGGTCTTGCCTTATGGGTTATTGGTTTAAAATTAAAAAAACATGCCTCCAGAGACAGTAATGAAAGATGTGGGCTTGAAAACTTGAGACAGTTAGAGCCATTTGAAGGTTAATCAAACAACAATTCAATTAAAAAAAGATCATTTAAATCGAGAATTTGGTTACCTAATAATGCATAATTCTGTCTAAATATAAGAAATGTATATGCTGAAGCTTTGCTGTACCTTCAGAGAAACATAATGCAAAAGTCAAAAGATGTTATTTGTGATACAGGTAAATTGTGAAAAAAATCAAAGTATAATTCTGAAATACAAAATCATAAAATGAAATCACAGATTGAAAGCAAACATAAATAGCAAGATTTCTTTAAAACTGATTTCTTTTTCAAGATCACAAGACTATCTTTAACTCTTGCCAACTGATGGCCACTTTATTTTTATAACCTTTAACAACAGTGACTGATCGCTTTGCAAAGTGCTGCATGACAATGATAACCAGTGGCACTATAAATAATCTGTGATCTTGAGCTTTAAATAAAATCAAGACAGCACATACAGAACATTATGTTCAAACATAAGATAACATCTTATGTATTAACATTTTAAAATGTTAGAAAACACAATGATTGCTGATAAGTCATACTGATGGACATTATGTAATGAATGTTAAAATGTTCAATGTTTAAATTCTTTATAGTTTTCTTATGAAAACTGGAGACAGAATGAAAGACAATGAAAGCGCATTACCTGTACACGTTAAAATAAACATTGCCTGAAACAAACTCTCTAAAATACAAATTAAGTTTAATATTATTGCCAGTGATTTCTGATTAGACTCTTCTAATTAAACTCTGATATATTTTGAGCAGTTAAAGTTATAAATGAAGACATCTGACTAAATTTTTTACTTGTTCATTGTTGATACTACATCTAACAGGAGTAACTCAGAATATAAATAATAAATAAATAATATTTCCTCCTGACCAAACAACAAATTCAACATTAGACAGTACAAATTAAATAAAGTAACCAAAAACAGCTGCAGGTGCATAATGAGTAAAAGGAATAACAGGGAGACTCAAACTTTAAAAAAGTACAGTAATTATTATTTCCATAGGCGACAAAATAAAAATAATGAAAAAACGATCCATTATTATTCTGTACGTAAAACAAAATAAACTTTGTTACACTAACATCATTGCACAGCATTAAAAAAAATCTTATTTATTTATTTATATATATATTTTTTTTGCTGAACCGCCCAGCAGGCCAGCCTACAAGAAAAGATGTCTCTGACTGACTGACTGACTACCATTTTTGATACATGCATACACAAGCACTGCCTAATGCATGCAGCTGGTGGTGCTATACGCCATTAAGTGGCTCTCATACCCTGTTAACTCTACGAATATTATGGCTAACACATAGATAACGGAAGAAAGTAGAGGTCTAAGCTCCTGCAGATAGACCATGTCAGATACTGGAGGTCCGTTCGCCTTGACGGAACTACACGGGCGGAAAAGGGCCAAAATGTTTCGGCTGCCGGCGGGAGCGGGACAAACAATTGCGATTTACTGTGGGAGCAGGATGAACTCTTGCAGGAGCAGGGAATTAAAATACAGTCCCGCCCAGATCTCTAGAAGAAATCCGAAACTAATTTGTTGAAGCACACTGTAGGTTTTGCAAAACCAACGACCTAAAAATGGGTGAAATAACCAAGCAGCGAGTGCTTCCATTTGAGCTTGAGCTGTGTCTGACTTCAGTTGGAGTTTTTTCCTCCATCACGCTGTATAAGCAGGTTATTTAGGTTATTTTGTTACAGTTCCAGGTGAGGATAAAGTCAAGAAGTAGTACATGGCTATTAAGAACACAAGAATGTAAAATGGAAGAGTTGATCGCTATTTTTTTTATAATTACCCTTTTTAAGGATTTTGCCAAGCTAACATCCTCCAACAGACACTAGCGCGACAAATGCCTTGCAGCCGATGGCGGTCCAGCAAAATCTAGACTGTCTTAGTCTTTTTTTTTTTCCTTATGTATCTTTATTTTCTATTTCCTACTTATCTTTATCAAAATAAAACTCATTAGAATGATCCACTTTGTAAGGTCTTGTTAGCCAGACAGTAGACTAGCTTATTTTCTCAAATTTAACAAAAATATTTCAATACACTAGAAATTTAGTAACAAATGAAATGTAAAAATGTATTAGGTAAACTTTTAATGTACTGCACTGTCCAGTCTCTCATCAACATTCAACATAAGACACTTGTTCATCTGTGAACAGATATGCCACGGATGTCAAAAGCCTAACCACAAAGCTTAGGTGTGGCTGCAGGCTTTCACTCCAACAAAGCAGGAGCATGCACGATCAATTGTTTGTACACCGAGACCAACTGTTTAAACAAGTGGAATCAGGTGTGCTCCTGCTTGTTTGGAATGAAAAACCTGCAGCCACACTGGCCTTTTGCGGATAAGACTGGACACCCCTGTCAAATGGTTTAACCTCTAACTCACATGCTCCTCTTACGCACCCATAATCCAAAATAAAAAGAAATGTCACATTCATAGTTAACAAGTAAAAGAAAATCAGAAGACAAATGAAAAAAAACATAACAGCATATCCTCTGACATGAAGTTATGTTACAACTACACTAGTTTGATTTTAAAAGGTGTCATTTTAAGGGTAGAAGTTGTATTGAGCCCAGACCCATCTGGTTTGCCTGACCTGGGGAGCTCTTCTGCCTCAAATCTTCCGCCTGCATCTCAATCAGCACTTTAGCATCAGCATCGAACAGAGAAATGGAAAGCACAGCATCAGGATCCAGATTCATTTCAAAATGGTGGGAAAAAAATGAAACACACACAAATCACAAATAGGTTGCACTTTACACAATGTGCTATTAACAGAGCCCCCAGAAAAAATGTATGCATTACTACAAACAAGTTAGCAGTTTAAACCTGACTAAAACGATTCATAACACTTGGAATTTTTGTACTCCAGTAAATTTAATTTACCAAAAGCATATCTGTTACTGACTTACTGACTGTTTTTCAATAAAAGCATTGAAAAAAAAACTGGGGCTTCTCAAATTTGCACTTTGTAGAAAGTGATACCAGAGTGCAAGCTTTAAAGGCACTTTTTTTCAGGATACTGCAGATAACACACAAACTCTGGGCATTTGGAGTATCTTTAATTCCTAAAAAACACAAAACCAATCGCAAAACAAAAGCTTTTCAGTGTTTTCATATCAATATATGAAAATATCAATTTTCATATTTCTGTTTAAATGACTAATATACACTGTATGTCCAAAGGTTTGTAGACAGCTGCTCATCCAGTGTTTCTTCTGAAATCAAGGGTATTAACAGGGTATTGTCCCCCTTTTCTGCTGTCAGCCTCTACTTTTCGGACCAGCTTTTACACTTGATGTTGGAACATTGTGAGGATCTGATTGCACTTAGCCACAAGAGCATTAGTGAAGTCAGGTACTGATGTTGGATGATTAGTTCTGGACCACAAACTCCATTTCAATTTCCAAAGGTATAAGATGGAGCTCCACCTAATAAAATGCAGTCCCACTGATCCTCACGCCCATTACTGGGGGGCTTTATATCTTTCTAGCTGACGCTTGGCACTGGGCATGGTGACCTTAGACTTATGTGCAGGTGCTTCAGAGCGTTCTGATCTATTAGAAGCGTTTTTCTATGTAGGTTATACAAACTGAGTGGCTGAGTGAGGCAACTGAATGTATCTGCATACTTTTGGACCTATAGTGTACCTACAATAATAAAATACATTAACTCTGGGCTCCAGAGTTTCTGTGCTTTCACTCAACTTTCAAAATATATACACCAATACACAGGCAGCAAAAAAGCAACATTCAACACATTATGCCAAAACCATTAGGATAATTACAGAGAAAGCAGCAACAATAGAAAAATATATCTGTCACAATACAACCACAAGTTACTGTGCAGCAATAACATGCAACAGCTCACAGGAAAAGGATCAAGAATCCTGATGTATGAACTTGTAAATTTAGCCTTGATTTAATCAGTTTAGTCAAACTCCAATTAACTTACTGTCCTGTCACTGAAACAGGTTTGAATCCTCACCAGTTTTATCAGTATATGTAGTTACCTGACCTTGAATATAATTTCAAATTAATTTGAAAACAACTTGGACATTGCATGACTGAGAACATAACCACAGCTTCACAACCACTCACTCAAATCACACACTGTATGGCATCCTCCAACACATTTCAGCTGTTGCCACATTAAAACAATCCAAAAAGGTACTCAACCAGACTTTCCACTTTCTACCAATTCACATATACAAACCAGCCAAAATTCATAGCGATAGAAAAGCATCATGATTTCTTTTTTAGATTCCCTCACCTTCTGAGTTCTGGCGTGAAGCTGCTCCTTTGAAGCGGAATGCCTGTCTAGCACGGCTGCGGTCACCAAAGCTCAGGCTCTTGGGCACCTTGGAAGGACTGTCCTCATTGCTGTTGTCTGCACTGGGTGAGCGCCTCAGGGGCTGCTGGTTCTGGGGCGAACCCTTCCCCTTGGCGCCTGAGCTTCTTGGGCTGGAGAACACCCGTTCTTTCAGACTGACCTTCTGACTGCAAAGGACAAAGGTTTTAAAAGCTCAAGAAATAGTTTTGTATGTTATGCGTAACAGAGGCTAAGTGTCAAGAACTACAGATGCTGCAGGCAGGTGTAGCTGATCATTTTGACAATATCAGAAATCAGAGAAGACTCACAGTCTGGTGACTCAGTAAAGAGTTGTTATCTGAGAGATAACCAGGGACTAGTAGTAACCAGTTCCATTTACTCAGTTATACGTACTCAACTAAAATTTTGATGGATTTGTACTTTCATGATTATATTTTTACTTTTACTCAAGAATATTTGTGAGTAAATGACTCTACCTTTTACCCACTTACATTTTAGTCATTAACATTTAGATGATAATCCCCTTTTTGTGTTGAACTGCATTATGTTTGGGGCAGCATCTGCACTGTGGAAGCAATGGATTATAGACGGGGCCTTTGTGGTCAGTGCTCAGATCCCAAGGCCTAAGGTGACTCAAATACCTGGGACAATCCACTCCAGATGTAAACAGTAGATGAACGAGTAGCTTCTGAATATACAAATAACTAAATATAAATAAACAGTTGTATTAATTATAGGTTGGAGTACAGGGGAATCCAAAGGCTCTTGTGCTCATGGGCCTTGCAAGATCATGATTCATCCCTGGAGCTTTAGCATTTTATTTTAGAGCAACAGTGCATGACAAAGAAGAACAGCTGAATGAACATCAAGTCCAATGCTAATAGATGCTGAATGAGCTCCACAGCAGTTTAATAGGAACTCAGTACTTCAATAGTTTTTTGACCTGATACTTTTTTCTCCTTCTGTTTTTTTTTGTTGGGTCCTTATTTCATCAGCATAATACTTGTGCTTGAATATGAGTTTAAGCTATTCTACACACCCCTGGAGATAACTGTAGAATCTCAGTCCAACACATAAGAAATATGCAGGTTTAAGTGGTTTGAAGCAGTGGGTCTCAAACTGATCTTTAGATGCTCTATTCCTGAGCACTGTGGCTTCAGTTGGAGTGTCTGTGGGACCCTGGCGACTGGTTTGAAAACCACTGGTTTAGAGAGTTTAGAGTTTACTGTCATCTGGCATCATCCAATGCATACAGACACAGGAAGCACCACACAACACGTCCATCTGCACAAGGACAAGGTGAAAGCCAGCACACATGCTCATACATCTACAGACAGCCAACATGCATCATTACACTGGGACTGGACAGGTAAAATATCTGTACACTATACAAGGTCCTAGGCTGTCCCCTGAGCTCACTGATGAAGGCTTGTTTATTATAATTATTATTATTTTATTTTTTAACTGATTAAAAGCATTTGAAATGACAAACAGTAAAGATAAGCAAGTTTTATCACAACGGAACTGTGAATAAAGACACACGTTGATTAATAAACAAATATGGAATACTGTAGGTATATACACGTACCTTGGGGAGGGCTCTGGTTGGGCTTCCTTCCTGCATGATATGTGAATATATTAGGTATACAAAAATCATGTTTTACAGGAAACAGTAACTTTACCAAAGCATTACTTGCTTAAAACTGGTGAATGAATGAGCAATTATCATTTTTACAGTACCTAAAGGAAAGACCAGATTTGCTCTTCAGGTTTCTCAGGAGATCGAGCTGGTTAAGAGGTGGAATGAGTCTGCAAAAACACACACATGTTTGTATCATAAAGGTAATGTGTACTGCCTTCCAGTTAGGAAGTCAGGATAAAAATGATCTTGCAAACTTGGCACGACATATAAACATGTACAGGTTACAAACTTAATATTAAGCTCAACTATGTTGAGGGAAAATGACTGAATTGAAAAAGTACCGTTCTTGCTATACCTATACCAAAAATGTCATAACATAATTATGCATGACTCATTGTGCTAAATAGTCAGTTGCCCCTTACTTACAGTGTACCACTTATATTTATGTTATTTAAATAGGCAACAGATTTTTCATTTAATAATTTAAAATGTCAGTTTGGCCCATTAAACAGCTTTATTTATACTGAGACTTTAGCTAATACACAATACTGGGAATAAATTGTTGTGTTTCCTGTATTCATTTAGCCCACATAGAGTGAGCTTTGAGTTAAAAAAAAGGCCAATAAAATCTGCCCTTGGCCAAACTGGCCATAAAGAAATCAAAATCGGCCATAAAAAAATCATCGGTGCATTCCTAGAAGTGAACCACTAAAAACCCAGAAAACAACAGACCATCAAGTAAGCCTGGTCTAAAGCAACAGTCTCAAGGGCAGCAGTGACACATCAGCAACACACCAATGTCTTAAAATTCACAAGGTCAGCAGTAAATATTGAGGTTCTTTGCCACCATGGATGCAGTTAGCTGTTAGAGTCCTGCCAGAACCCACTGTGCAAGAGCAGCAGGCCAAGAAACAATAAATCCACAGTGTGCCTCTAGGTACAAATCTGCAAGCAGGAAGGGAATCAATCTGGGGTGTTAAAGGTTCGTGCTGAATAGTAAAACAGAGGTGAGAAAATGTGTGTGTGTCTGTACTGTATGTGAGAGTTTATGCCACAGGAAGCTGGCTCTCTTTGATAGCTATTAACAGAGAGCCGGAGTTGTGAGTTAATGTCAGGAGTATGCAGTGCTGCAGTCTGTCCTACAAAGTCAAAGGGCTTTTGGCTGCAGCACTATAAAAACAAGAAAGGTCACACTTCAATCAGATCTCATCTTAGAAGATGAAAGTGAGAGAGAGGGAGAGAGAGAGAGAGAGAGAGAGAGAGAGAGAGAGAGAGGAAAACAGAGAGCACATCCACAGTGACACAAGGTCAACAGTCTACAGCCAGTCATTTAAACGTCTATGGGGAAAAACCCCATAAATTCTTAGGATAAGATTGACATACTATGTCAAGTGGGGAAAACACTTTCTCAGGCAAAGCAGACAATCTACTTGAGACATTTCTAGATCTCAGAGTACTACACTAGCCTAGGCTCAGGAACATGTCTTCTAGAACTTTTCAGCTTAATTATCAAGGAGAGTCCCAGATGTCCTGCTCCTATATTGGTCGCATATGCGAGCAGGACATCTGGCTACCTTCAGAGTTGGCAGTTGTGTGTTTCTGGGACATTATAACTAAAACAGCCTTCTCAGATGTTACACAGCAAATGTCACAGTTCCTAAATTGGAAATGCTGCATTAATATCTACCCAGTAGCATGAAAAATAAGCTGAGGTCTACTTTCTGCCACTGGTAGAGTACCCTCTATTAATGAAGAGTACGGTACATGCCACACTTTGAAAAACAAGCTGTCTGCACATTCTGAACCCTAATTACTCTTTAAATATTGACACCCCTGACTGAGACAGTCAGGTTTTGATTTAAAATCTGCTGGTACTTGATGGAGTTCTTAATTTTATGTATCTTAACATGTGCTGAGCCTTTAAAAGAAAAACAGCCCATCACCAAGCTTTCCAGTGGGGATGAGATACTTTTCTGCATGGCTATTTATGTGGCTATGCTAAATCCACCTGTCGTGTTTGTTGCCTAAAATCTCTATTTTGGTCTCATCTGGCCATAGAACACGGTCCCACTGAAAGGTCCAGTAACATCTGGCAAATTGCAGGTGCTTGGTCCTTGACAGCAGAGAATTTCTTCTGGCAACCCTCCCAAACAGCTTGTGGTTATGTGGGCGGCGTCTGATTGTATTTTGGGAGACATTCTGACCCCAAGACCTAACTAGTGTCTGCAACTCCTCTGCTTTGCTCCTTGGAGATTCTTTGGCCAGTCAAACCATCTTCCTCACTGGGTGTGGGGTCAATATATATACATACACCCTCTTAACAGCAGATTCTTCACATCTCCACTTGCTATAAACTTCTTAATTATTGCCCTTCTTGTAGCCATTTCCTTATTTGTGCAGTTTAACAATCTTTAGTCACACAGCATTGCTGCATTCTCTGGTCTTTCTCATAATGATAGATGAGTAAGGCTTTTTGGCCTTTGTGTCACCTCATATTTATACCCCAGTGAAACAGAAAGTCATGGGTGACCATTTAAGTATTTCTACTTTAAGACATCTAAAAAGAATGAGAATATGCTTCAGTTAGATTTCTCCAGGTAAGACTTTCTGGGGGTACCAACCACTGTCACACATATATATATTTGAGAAAAAAACCATTAATTTTATGTCAAAATATAGTTTTTTTCTTTCAATTATTGTACTTCAAATAAAGGTTAGATTTTTGTAAATGAAAGATCAAAAGGATAAGGAACATTAAAAGTTTTATCCATCTGTTTTGCTCTTGTTCACCAGGGGTGCCAATATTTGTGGAGGGTATTGTGTGCTCTATTCTTTGTCAACTTTGGTAGGAAGCAATGAGTCAAGATTTCTTTGGTTTGATTAATGTAAGTCTGCTTTTCAGAATCATTTTTACATGCATTTTTACACATTTTTACATACATACTCCATACAGTCCACATACGAAAACTAAGCTGCCAAAAACAGCCTGTTTTAATATTATATATATATATATATATATATATATATATATATATATATATGTATGTATTTCTTTGGTAATGTCAGACAAACTGCCTATTTACATTGAAGTTGTAAGGAGTGTTTCAACTCGGACTGCCATTTGAATTAGGCACAATACAGGGCAGCCAATCAGAAAAGAGCTCTTTCTACAGATACTAGGACTGTTTTGGTAGAACACACAAGTGTTATAAGTGGACATCAGTGGAAACGCAGGATATGGGCCCTTAAATGCCACAAAAGCTTCAGAGAAACTGGACCAAAACCATAAAGAACAAGGCATTCCTCATTCTCTTATTTTACAAAAACAGCATTAACAGACCCAATGCAGCTTCTTAAATTACCTGCATACAGATTTAAATGACATCCAAATACAAAAATTGTTTTTTTTTAATTAATTCAAATAACCTCACTGATGTGCTGGGAGGTTGTGTGGAAGAGCAGTTAGAACTTAACCATTAACCTTCACAATCCCCACCCCCTCAAAAGAAAAAGGTCACAATGTGAATCAATGCAACCACTGCATGTATCTCATCTGACACCCAGGAGAAATACAAAGAGAAAGAGACACAAGGGTGTGTATGCAAGGGGGAGGAGCCCGAAGCAGAGAATCTGGAAAAAAGGAAGGACAAAGACTGAGAGGCATATGAGAGAAACAGAAAGAGAGAGAAGGGGACTGATACCTGTACATAGGGACCGATACAGATCTCTCATAGTAATCCCAGGTAGACTGAAGGTCCGTGCGAGACAGATTGGTGGCGTACACCCTCCAGGCCGCCTGAGGGATCAGACAGAAACACATAAGTGATAGACGCATTGGGCTCCTTAAAATAATTAACATACAGCTGCAGAGTGTCCTTCGAGGACGTCCTTGTCGCTATCTCTCAGTGTTACACATACCTAAAGGAATTAGGTGGTGCAGTGACATTTTAAATTACATTACTGTACCTTTCACGTGCAGCCTATACAGCTCAATGGATGATTGATGAACCTTTAACTCCCTGGAGAAAAGCTAAGGAAGCATCAATTAAAAACTACTACAGTGTACAGTGCAGCCTTTCTCCTGGGCAAACCTACAACCATGCCTAATAAATTCAGCCTTATTGTGGTCAGCTCTCTGACTTGCAGCATTGCGGAAGATCCTCTAAAAATAGTTTTTCATATTGAATTCATCATGTTTGCCATACCCCAGACCTGGACTACTGCTGGGATTCAGCCACAGTCTAACGAGAATCAAACATAAGTAAGTAATATTAGTCACATATAGTTTATTTATTTATTTAGCTATTTTCTAATAAAACAGTTATGCTGGGTCAACACTGGTAAAGTTCCAGTTCACACAGTCCATATTTTTGTCAATATCAGCCTTAAAGGCAGAGGAGATTTACTAAGAGATCCACTAATTATCAACAGCCTGCCCACATTTTGCAGTGGTGGGGGTCATTATATAGACAAAACCTGTTTTTGATATTAAACAGAGCACAGTCAGTATTTACTATCAGACTTGGTGAATCATAGAAGGTGCTTCATTACAATAATCTGCTCCCAGTATTTTTTGTTTCTTTTGAAAAGTAAACTCCTGTAAATGCATATGCAATAAGGCAAAAGTGCAGTGGCCGTTCCTTTGATCTTTTTATGGTTGCTAAAGAACCGTTGCACAGGACCGTGGCAGTGAATCAGAACAGTCAAAATGCCATAGATAAAAGCCAGCTTGCTTAATTCTAGCAGATTCTGAAAAATAGTCATGTAAAGACAACACAAGTATTTTAAACAGAGGAAAAAATAAAATGCAAGACAAATGTAACCTCTGGGCCTTTAACTTTCCCTCTCCTTATCTGTTCACATTGCTTTTCCAGCTCTTGTGCGAGTGATGTATGATTACTCTTAATTTGCCCTTATCTAATCACTCTCCTCAGCCTGGGACAAAGCATTTTCTTTCTTTTTTTTAAATCTCCTCATCTGCAGAAACCTAATTTATTCACTTCAGATTTATTCCCAGGCCCAGAGCACAATTTGAATTGTCTTCTAGTCAGTAGATCCTTACTGCCATACACTGTTAGCACAAATTTAGATGATTTGTTGGTGCCATGCTATCAATAGCTTCTGGTCAAATATTGATACTGTGATGTCTGACGCCAAGAGTGTTTGTCTTAAGGCTTCACTTTCGCCCTCATTCTGACTTTGATTTTCATTACAGTATTATTCTAGTGACAGTTTGAGCAGCAAATAAGGTCACTTTAGATTTACATTTACAGCAGTAAGCAGATGCTTCTATAGAGAGTGCCTTATAAAAGTGCTTTGTTGTCCACTCAGTGCATGTATCCTACCAAGTACAAATAGGCTTGAGCTAAGAAACCTCCAGAAACAGGAGCCAGTCAGGACTCTTTCTTGCTATAAGCAATCACATAGGGTTCCCAAACCAATAGAGGCCCCAAGCATGAACTTTAATTTATTCAATGTCTAGAGATTTCTTATTTTTTCCTGACCAAACTGTAGTTGTCACTTAGGGCTCCCCCAGCAACTGGGGCCTTGAGTATGTATTTTTAAAATGTATTCAATATAGGTTGTAAAAAAAAAAATGCAGAGTGGGTCTAGATATTTTCTTATTTTTTCCTGATCAAAACAAAATAAACATTTCTTCCTTTTCTGTTGTTGCATTCAAAAAAATATGATGAGGGTGGGTACTTGCAAAGCACTTGAGTGGGATGTTATTTATAGTAGAATTCAACAAGTTTTACTTTTCTTTGTGTAGTATTTTGCCCTGTAACACCCTGCATGTATATCTCAATTTAAAAATTACATTTTAGATCAACATTTTACCTCAAATCTATCATAAAACAATGTATCAGGTATCAAGGGACATGTTCTAGACCAATTTATGTAATCACTCTCTGTGAGGTAGCTTTCAGAGGCATTAAATTATTTTATCCTTGAGCTAAGACACTGCCAGAACCATGAGCCATGAGTGAGAACCATGGTACCAAGATACAAAGATAACACAGTTCACATGCAGGGCTGTTTCTTGCTATAATCAGTCTAAGCAGTTGCTTAGGGCTCCCAAGTCACCATGGGCCCTAGGTATGCAGGCTACTTGATAAAATATATTCAATGTTGGTTGGTTGTAGAAAAAGCAAAATGAGTCTAGAGATTTCTTATTTTCTTATCCAGATCAAATTAGAGTAACTATTTATTCATTTTTTATTCTTGCATGAAACAAGATTATGATTGGGGTGGGTGGAATTCACTTGGGGCCCATAAATGTTCATAACTGCCCAGTTTTCATGTATGGTGTAGTCTCAATGTTTTTTAAAAACACCACCAAATCCATCAGAACACGAATAAAAAGAATTTCTGATTTGATTCTGTTGGTACCAAACTGACTTATTAATTATTAAGCTCAAGCTGTCAGTCCCTATTAGAGAGTTCACATAAAGATGTCTTTCAAATGCCTTACCAGAGCTTTCAGCTTCTACAAGTCTAGCAGAATTAAACACTGTGCTGCTAATGGAGTTTAATTAGCTCTCTTAAAGGGAATGTAATTAACTGGAACTGATGATACAAAGCATTCTGGGGATATTACGACAAGAAGTGTGCTTCACCTGAATTAGCCCAGCAGCTGGGTTCCGCCGTTTCTCAAAATGTTTCTGCCGATGCTGCTCCTGGACTTTCAAGGCAAAACCAGAGCCCAAGATTCCCTTAAAATGAAACGGGAAAGTATGCTTAGTAGGTCTTCACGAAATGGACAAAATATTATATTGCAACTATATTACTACCCATAGAATCTGCAATATTGCCTAGCAATATATTGAAACACACTGGTACATCTTTGATGTGACATAAATATAAATAGGCCTGCATTATTCTGACTATCTGAGAATGGTATTCTCACAGCACACAATAATAAACTGCATTTTGTGAGAGGGATCAGTACTGCAAAGGCTGATTTCATTACAGTGATCATCAAACAATATATTGTGGAGCCCTAATGGTTAAAAGGGTATTCAGACCTAAAACTATAGGTTAATATGTTTTACTGTGTTCTTTTTTATTGTATTCTACAGAATTATATACCTCATCCACATCAGTTTAAAAGGATTCAAAATGTTCATGTTTTTGCCCATCAGCGTTCTCTCACTATAATACACACCATGCATTACATAAATACCACTGGAAATCCCTGTGGTGTCAACCAATCCTGACTTCTAGATTAGTCCCTGATCTATAGGCTAATAAATACAACAAAGTTAGCATCAGTGTAACAGTCAAACAAAATTGTAAAGAAAGCAGTGATTCTGTCTCTAGCGCAAAATGGATGCCAGAAACATTTTTTTTTACCTTTTCACAGAGAAAAGAAGCTTATGAAGAGGTAAGGCATACTGTGCTAGCTGGCTACCTTTTAGCTTGTTGTCCTCCTCATCTGATGAATCATTTCTGTCATTTGAGTAATCCATTCTATAAATTGTACACAGCACTGCAATGCTAAATCAGAAGTGTGTGTGTATAATCACAAAATCCCAAACACAGACACACACAAATCTGCAGAAAATCAAGAGAGGCACCAACTGCTGGGTGGCAAACTGCAAAATCACATTGTGAAACAGTGTGAAATTACCTCTTACAGTACTGAAGTGGTTTCTATTTTACATGGTCTGTTTACACCCATGTCCATTTAAGTCCTCATTTAAGCGTTAACACTATATAATCAGAACTGTATCATTTTAGATTTAAGACACATAAGAAATACCCGCCGATACAGCTTTGCGTGTAAAAATCAATTGTTATTCTCCTGCTCGCTCTCTCTCTCTTTCTCTTTCTCTCTCTCTCTCTCTCATTCACTCACTGACACTCACACATATACGCAGTAAAACAACATGCCACATGTATTTATGAGCACTGTATGTATGTTTTTGTGCAGAGCTGGAGGGGGGTGATATGTAATACTCTCAATTTTTTATTAACAAAAAAATATATTATATTAATATTAATTTTAGATATTGACCAGGCCTAATTAATTTGTAGTGGTTTAAGTGGTTTTATTACATTATTTCAATATAAAATATTGAAATCTCTTTTCTTTGAGAATTTGAATGTGTTGAAATATTTTTCAATCATGAATCTGTATGTCTGGATGTTCTCATTTCTCAGAGGTATATTTAATTTACACCACTTTGTTTCTCCTTGTTCTCCTTGTTTTATTCTTTTCATTCAAAACAATGTATCACACCTGATCTTTAGTACAGAAACACTGGGACTAGCACACGTCTACAGATTAGCACTTTCCTTTTAGATTCTTAATGTAAATAAGCCCGGATCATATTTAACAGGAAAACCCCCACATCACCTGTCTCTGCTTAAACAAATTTCCCCATTAGCACTGAAATGAATCCTGTGTTTCGATGTTTAACCACATGTTTCTCTCAGAATATCTGCAAACTTACAGCAGGCAAGGCAAAGAAGGACACTCCAATAAGGGTGAAAGTTGCTGCAAGAAGACGCCCATTCCACGTTATTGGATACTTATCTCCATATCCTATAGTCGTCAGGGTGATCTACAGGAGAGATAAAATTAAAGTTATGAAGCATTACTGAAAGTAATCACAAGTGTGTTATTTGAAGTGTAGTGTTATGGCTCTCTTCTGAAAAAAATGTTACATGTCAGCCATTGTAATTATAGATTTTGATTGCACTTTTTAAATGTAACACTACCAACACGTTTTGTCTGTGTCAAAATATTGTGATATGTATCATGCATTGTGAAAATTTATTTAAGTATTGTGATATACTATGTTTTTCTCTATCATCTATTCCTAGTATCTATTATAACTACTCACTGCAGAGAAACAACCCAGATCTACCCAAGATCTGTACTAAAATTACATGCTTAAATGTAGAAATTACTTAAAGCAAAATATTTTTTTCATTGATTTGCCTGAATGTGCAAACCATGTGACATTCCAGTTGATTTTCTTTGAACTTCTTACACACGAGGTATTTCAATCCTTAAAATCAATATATATGAATGACAAAAATAAAAGACAAAGGAAAAAAGTCTCAAAGAACTACTGAATTCCCCAACACTTTAGCAAACCTGTGTGAAAAACAATCATCCCAGTGACGCTGGCACATTTTGTTAATCAATTCAACTAAATTTAGCAGGATATGGACAAATGCTGCAGAACTCTAAAGTGACAAAAGTTTGTTATACCTATGTTAAAGCTATAGCTTGGACAGACGACTAACAGTACCCCTTTGAATTTTTCGAATTTACATGTCATTTTCATACTTTCATTCACATCAAATTTTCTATTGTCTTGTTTTGTTAATATGAAAATTTAAGCGCTAGAAACCATATAGTTTTGATCCATTTTTTTTCAGTTCTTTGCTCAGGAAGTCCCAGGAGACTACATGGCCACAAATGTGATCTCCCTTTTGCCTGGGCTGCATCAAGCCTGACAGAGAGTCTATTCTAACTTAATAAAAAGAAAAATTGGCCTGCATCTTTTTCGTTTAACTCTCACTTTATTTAATTAACTAGGTCTATTAGTTACAAATCAAATGAGGAACCCAAGTGCACATGAAATGAAGTTTCAGTGAAATAAGAAGTGGCTGGACTCAAGGAGATTGATGTCAGCTGCCACATCATTCAGCTGCTGTTCAAAATATGATGGACTTGTGTAATGGTTGTGTCATAAGGCTTCTAATGTGGTTTGGTCAGATTTCAGCTGCGTTAAACTTGTGGTATTTATAATATCGACTGTCACAGGCAAAACTGAATTGATGGTTAAAGACTGGTTTCACTGGAAGGTTCTTCTTTCGATGGTTCTATTATGAATGATTTTAGATCCATTTCTGTCCATCTCTGTTTTACAACACAATGTTTTTAGATCACATTCACAATACAGTATAAAACTTTTATCTGAACTGTTTAAATACAATTTTTACAAATAGCTCATACGACTTTGAACTCCCATGGATATATCACAGTTTTGTGTGAGCATTCTGTCTCTGAAGTTTCACTGATGTCCTTGAGTTCATTTCCACAGCAAATATGCCAACTGTTTCTTGGCAACTGCTAGAGTCTCCAAGGACTGCCATCTTGTCAGTGAATCTCTCTGGCAGCTCAAGTCTAACTAAGGCTTTCTTGCTAATACAACTTCAAATCACAACATCTGACTACAGAAGCTTTTCCAAGAAGTTCTGCCCATCAACAAAGGTTCCAAAAACTCTTTTAGAATAAGGCCTCAAACTAAAATCTAGTGTTTGAGCAGTCAACCAATAGTGAATACATCTCTACATGAGTGTAAAAAGCTGCACAACAAGGGGATGGAGAATAGTTTTTTGGCCCTACCAATCATGTAGCCATTCATTGTTAATGTTATGCAATTATATTTGTGCTTTTAATACAGTATGAATATACAGTCTAGTGCATTGCTACACTTTTGTTTGACATTTACGAAATAATTTATGAAGAGTTATGAATTCAACATAGGCAGTGACTACACTTACCAGGCCCCACCACAGGGCATCAGCATAGGTCGCAAACATCTCATTGTCTTCCTTCTCAGCCAGATATACAAGGAAAGAAGCCAGGATCAAACACAGGAAGCCAATGTACCAAGCTGTGATCAGTTCCTGCCAAGGGCAAACACACACATGCAAACACAAACCATCAAATGACATAACATCAAGACCAACAGAAACACACCAAAACATACAGTGCCTTGCAAAAGTAGAGGTTTAAGGAGTTCCTTAAGTCATCAGATTCATCTACATTACAAATGTCACTTATAGAGATTGTTCCAAACAGCAAGAATTTTAAAGTAAATTTTCATTCAAGTCAAAATGGATCATTTATCAGTCATTTTAGAATATTAACCTTTTTGTTGTTCAACCACTCCTGCGTTACTTTTGGTGTTTGGGATCGCTGTTCTGCTAAAAGTGAAGTTTCTCCCAAGCTTTAGTTTTTGAAGGACAGGTTTTCTTGCAGTATCTCCTTGTATTTTGCACCATCTGTTCATCCTTCAATTTTAACAAGATCCCCAGTCCCTGCTGAAGAAAACCATCCCCAAAGCATGGTGCTGCCACCCACATACTTCACTGCTGGGATGGCATTTGTTGAGAAATGGGCAGTGCTGGGTTTTGCCCCACACATTTTAATTGTTTGGCCAAAAATGCCACAAAATCTTAGCCTACATTTTGCTGGGTCACTCTAATTCTATCTGCCAAACTCCAGATGTAGTTTCACTTCGGTAATTTCTCTAGCAACCCTCCTACACAGACCAGCTGTATGCAGAGCTCTTGATGGCACTGACTGCTGCATCTTCATTCCAAATTCAGAGTAGAGGCCGTATACTCTCTTTCGTCTGTGTTGGAGCTTCCCTAGCACAGGGTTTGAATACTTAAACAAACAGCATTTTTAGTTAGTAATTTTTGTACAGAATATTTTCTTATATAAAGCCATTATCTCTATAAATTTATGAAAGTCAGTCTTTTAAACACAGCACAAAACTGCTGTCATTGTTAAAAAAAGTAATTTGTAATGCAGGAAAATCTGATGACATTTAAGGGGGTTAAATACTTTCGCACCGTACATACCAGGCGTGTAGCCACAGGCATTGATCACAAGCCTACCTAATCAAATGGGGAAAGAATAATAAGCTGCATTTTTAAGAGACAGTGAGTGCTGTCATTGTATTATGGTGTGTATATTTTGAATTTAAAACTCCAGCTTTTTTTTTCAAAGGATGTGCCTGGGTGACATATAAAAGTGAGACCCAGACAGAGTAGAGTATGTTGTTTTCCACCTATTTCCAAAAACAAAACGTCAGCTTGTGTCAAAAAAGTTGCTGCATCACTGTCAACTTTGGTCTGCGAATAGTATGTTACTTACAATGCTCTTTTACTGCAAAAACTAAAATAGTCAAAATGTCAAAGCAGATGTCTACTTCTGTGCATAAAGTCATTAAAGGTAGGACACAGATGGTCCATAAACATTTTAATGCCCACCATGGCAATATGCTTTAGCTGTTTACTGTTTTCAATCACTATAATGTAGAAGAACTGCAATAGGATTTACTCTACACCCCTGATATGTGCACAAATGAATGCATGCAGTTTTATGTGATATTTAAAAGTATACTAAAAATTCTCTTATAGTTTTTTTGTAGTTATACCTTTATCTTATTGTCCATTTAGCCATGTTCACACTTTGTATTAACATGCATGTTGGGTAATATTATCACAGGTGTAAATGTGTGAACAGGATTGTGTTAGCAATCAATGGAATCTACACATTAATAACTGCCCATTCATGGACATGAACAAGGAATCTTCTTCCAGTACCCTTCCTCCAGTAATGAAATCCCATCACATTTGGTCTCTGTATTCAAGACACAAGAAAATGGCAGGTGTAAAATGCACTACAGCTCACTTGGAGCTGGAGATCAGATCACTTGAGATGGTTATTAATACCACATCTGAACAGGCCATGTGTGACTTTCATTTAGTGAGAGGAATTTACTGTTATGCAACCACTGAACAGTTCAGTTATATAAAACCTAAATTAACACATATTAGTTAAACAACTAATATTTCTTTCATGCGTGTATGTTCTCACACAACAACAAAAAAACAGAGAAAACCACATGCCTCAGCACACAGGCACAAAGCACCACTAAAACTCGACTTATGAGCAGATCAAGCTTTTATTAGAGGCTAATTAGCTTGTGCTTCATCTTGTGCTACATAATTAATGCACTACACTAAATTCAATTTCATTTGAATCCAGAGCGTCTCCAAAAGTTAATGTTCCCGAATGTAGTTTTCTAACCTAATTCCCATACAAGTGTCTCAGAACGACAGCCTGAGGTGATAGCAATGGCTAAAAGAGAATTTGGCAGAAAACAACATGAAGACACCCACATGTTCAAAGAGAAGCGTAGCCTCTGGCTAGAACTTGGCAAGAAGCCATTTTGAATGAGCAGTAACAGGCTAATTATGAGAATAAGACATCTGTAAAGCCTACTGATGGCCAATGTAAAGATAGCTAACTGTCCTAGGGGGCACATCTTTTAAAGGTCTTGTTCAGTGGTGTGGGGATGTATAGAATTTGTCTCATTCTCTGTAAAAAACGGCAGGGCCTCTTCACCCTCCATCGCTAGGATGTATACCAGTCAGTTGGAGGTCTGCATGGTAAACTGAGGTGCTCAATTATGCAGCAAGGCCACCAATGCAATGACAGGCTCCATATATATTAGAAGCAGCATATGGTGCTTTTATTCTTCAAGACTGATGGGCTTCTGAATGTGAGAGCACTTCTAGACTTGGAAATCCCACTGTGTTTTGATTCATGTTCTGTAGGTCAGTGGTAAAATATTCAAATCTTACCAACAACATCATAAGAAATGGGTAAGATGATTTTTTTACAATGGATTTCAAACTGCATACAAATCTTCCAAGCTCTTGAAAGGTGACCAACATTACATTGCTTGTTCAGTGCAGAAAGTCTGAAACAAAATAATATTTTGATGTCAATGACTCTGATGCATAACCTCCGTTTTAATGAGACTCATTTAAATCAGGCACATTCAGTGTAAAGACTAATTAGAATACCCGCCGAGGTAGAGGAAGGCATCGCGCAGCACAACACTGACGAGCCCCTTTAACGAGCCAAAGTAAGAAAAATGACTTCAAAGATTTGCTTTGTCAGCAAGTGCTTTTCTTTTTTTTTTAGCTACTGCACACACAACCTTCCTGTGGATGCTAAGAAATGGGACACCGGCAAAGCGTACCACTCAAGCAGACAGAACGGGGACCTGCAAAGTCGCCCAAACCTGTTTTAGACTGAAAAATGCAGCATCAGAGCCAGCCTATCGCTCAGGATGTGGGCAGGACTTTGACCTTAGAGAAGTCCTCGCCTGAAGCCGCACTCATCTCAGCACCTGAGAGAGCTGAAGACATGTTCTGAGGTGGGATGAGTAACAAGAGCACAGTGCCAGCCTTTAAAAGCACAGGGAAGTGGCCACAGACAGGTATGGGATCCCTAATGTGGTACTTAAAATGGTGGTTCAGCCAAAAATACATTTTACAGCATTTTTATCTTAGCCTAAACGCAGTCAATAAGCCAAGACATGTCTGGCGCCTGAAGTTGAAGTAGAGATCAGCACATGTCATAACAGTATTGCTGCTTACACAATCAACAGCAATACCGTAAAATGTCTCTACTTTTAAATGGGATTAACACAGTATTTGTAAAACGAAGTTTCAGGCATCGGGGAGAATTAGGCCGGTCACGATCATTCACTTTTAGCTGGCAATTAATTGTCATGTAAAAAAAACTGCAATTAACAATTTAATTGCATGTTTTTGTATATTGCAAATGACTATTAAAGCCTAACCCCACTGGCTGATTAGCTATCTTGCTTACTAACAGTCAATGCTTACTCACTGCTGCCCTCTACTGAACTCACTGCTGAAGTTAGACTTTTGTTATTTTCATAAAGACCCATTATGTGCCTCAAATTGTTTTCAGTTTTCTTATATTAACATGTATTTGCCTCAAACCAATGAATAGATTTATTGCAATGTAAACATATAACTGTGAAAAACAACTGTAGTCAGCTTAAATAAATATCATCAGTAATAATTATGACAGATAAAGGCACTGTATTCGTAACTATTTCATGTGGTAGGAAACAGGCATTAGTTGGTTACGCTTACAATGAATTTTGCTGTTTTAAGTTATGTAAGTACATTATATCATAATCACTAATGTTGACTAGCTACTAGGGATACAATAAACGTGTCATATTGAACTGTATCACAGCATGTTATCTTGTGGCTGGTGTGTTAGATTTTTTAATATTATAATGTATTAACATTTCATACATATAATGAATGTTCTAATAAATTGAAAAACTAAATATTGGCATCAACATAAGGCACATTTTTAGCCACTATGTTTTTGCTGTATTAAAAAATGTACTGAATTGCGACACCACCTTGGCACCAGTGACGCACCAAAAATGAAAATTCTTGCCTGAAACCGAAATTCAGGACAAACACTGCCATGAAAACAAAACCAAGAGAAAGGGCTCTTTTATGTATAATTTCCCATTTTGTTCACACTTCTGAAATAACATAATAATGCTGACAATGCCCTTTAGGCAATAATCAAAATGTTGAGAAAGAGAACTGAGAGAACTAGAGGACTAATTTATTTTAAACAACTTGCGTATACTTCATGGGTTCTCAAAGGCACCTAAGCTAAATGTCAGAGTGTCTCCGCTACAACAAAGGAAAACACCTCTTTTTTAATATGTAAAGCACATGGATGTGAAGTCCTGCATAGCAGCCTGAAGCTTCTCGGGCAGGGGCTACTATGCGCACACAAGTCCATTTACAGTCTGTCATTTAGAGAAGAAACAATCATAAACCTCAGGAGGATATAACGAACACGCACGGTTGCAGTAACAACTTCCAAAACCCGAGGATAAAAATTAATTACCAAAAGATATTTAGTTACTCTGTATTATTTCCATAATTTCCATTAAAGAATTAAGTCAATTAATTCTAAAAAGCAAGCAAGTTAAAGTCTGCTGCAGTGGACCATGTGTGAGTGTTTCACTATTTATCTGCTGCAGCTCAAACAGTTTAAATGCATGTGTGCTGACCACTACAGGACAGCGAAGGACACAAACAAACAGCATTTTTAAACACAATTTCTCATTTTCATTACAATTCAAATTATTTGTTCAGTGTTACATTTGACACTTCAGTGTAGCCCTATTAAATCTTCTGGCCTTTTTCTCTTTTGGGTGAAAACTGAGAGTGCCACTTTCGAGCGTTTTCGGCTGAAGATTTTCGATGATAGAAATTTCAACGCATACCTAATTAGCACTGTGCAAACTGCATATCTCAGTCTCAAACTGTGGTTTCTTGCAGTGTGCATGGCATACTATTATCTAAAAAAAAAACTGGACAAAAAATTCAGGATGGGTGCTGCTGTTGTTTCTTGCTATTCAATGTACGTTAACTTCAACGTTGCATTAAGTTGCCTGCCAGCCGCTGGCACAGGTGAGAGTGGTAGAGCCACTTTTAGAGGTGAATCTAAACTTGCCCAGTTCAGGATGGCATGCTGAGTCATTGGGACAGAGCGAGCAGAAAGCTGTGCCATCCATGTCCTGCCTAGGGATCCTCTAAAGCTAAAGAACTGAGATTCAAACTTGAATTAAGTTAGCAACTGTTTTAATTGTTCTTTTTATTAGTCACCTGAGACAAAGGAGAACAGCTCATGAAAATTAAAATAAGATTAAGGCTACATAGTAAACTCCCTGATGTTAAATTAGCTCTTACAGTTTTCATTCATGTCCAGCTGGTGGTAAATGGGCACTGCAGGAGTTCATTCAACAATGTAGAATTTACTCTGTAATGGATGGACACTTTTCTTAAATAGCTTTGCCTTTGTTAAGACTGACGTGGGAAAGAAGAATGTGTCACTCTTGGTAAAGGTAGGTGTGCATGTCACCACTTACTGGTAACACAATGGAACTACATCCGACCTATTTTTACAAAGCTTTTCTGAATTGTTAATCTCACATACAACTGTAAGTGCTATTTAACAAAACATCTCTGGCTCTGAACTTATTACAGAACACTGTGATAAGACATGGATCTCAACTCATTCATAACCCTGCATCATATACCAGCGTGTCTATGAGGGGCTTGTTATTTATAAAGTGTATGAGCTGTTATAGATAGAAACAGTGTTGCATCACCAAGACAACAGCCTCTGCATTCCCCTGTGTGTCAGGCTCAGGCTTTGAAAGAGCAGGCAAAGTGCTGAGGAGTCAAATCAGAAGGAGCTGGGCTTGAAATGACTTGAGCTAAAAATAGAGTTGTTCTCTGTGCAACTGAAAGGGAGGTTTAGGTACACTGACGCAGTGTTGGACAGCAGATGTACACATTCATAAAGATGCTTGTTAATGTTTGGCCCAAACTGAGCACTTTTATGAGCGGAGGGATTAAACACGTGCAACCTGAATTCTCTTGAGTGCAGCTGGGGATATAAATCAGCTACAACGGCACTTGGCCTACTATTCACATTAGAGAAGAAGGAAGTAATCATGCACATCCAAGATGGATTGGTGCCAGAGAATGTTCTGAAGCACTTTAGGATGGAGGGATGCTTTCATGCTTATTAACCCTAATGTGAGATCACTTAAAGAAATCACTTTAGTATGACACTACCAAAGTAGTCCTCCATTTATGTCAGATCTACAGAAGCAGTGTGGCAGTTCCTTGGAAGATGTAGTCTTTCTTGCATCTAATGGCAAGTTACTGGTCAAACACAGTCCAGTTTTTTTTTTGTCTGGCTTCCAATGAAATTCTACCCCTCCCCAAGCCCCCCGACACCAGCCCTCTGCCACTAACTCTCCTGCAGCTTGAGTAATAGGGGGCAGTGTGCCAAATCCAATCGAAAGCAAACCAACCATGGCTCCAGTGTTCTCGGTTGCACCCTAAATTCATTCTTTCTGACACTTTACCAGGATCACTCATTAGAAAGTGAACAACTCCATACTCCCGCCCCATGCTGTGTCTCAGAGGAGATGTGCTTGGTTGAGAAGATGGTAGCAACCTTGCACTGTGGGACAGCCTGATCTATCAAGATCCACTTTATCATAGCGAGGGAAAAGACAGGCTTGACAAATGAGATTCAATATGATGCCCCCTGCTAGAAGAGCTTCTGTTTAAATCTGTGAATATCATACATCTTCGGTAGCTACAAAGACAAAGCAGCTGAAACTGTAAAAATGGGCAAATTGTAGAGCATTAAGTCTTGAGAGGAAAAGATTAAAAAGGAGAATTCATTCTTATGGCATTAACTTGGCAATGTCAGTCTAACATGCTAGAAAATCTAACATATCCTCCAAATACAGCATTTTCCTTAAAAACCCATAACTAGAAAACGATAACCACAAGGACCAAGCCCACATGAATTAACATGCAGCAAAAAATGCTTTGAAAAAGCTATTTGAAACATCTCATTCAATTTGGATGAGCACCTATTCTCTGGGAACTACACGGACTCCAGTTTCTATGGTGACAGAACCACTCTGAGCGCTACTTGAGTGATAGCTGATGTTCAGTGATGTTGGCTACCTTGCTGTGGGCATAGACGACAGATCCCAGGAGCTTCCAGGTTCCTCCTCGGCGGTCCATACGTATCATGCGGAGGATCTGGAGGAACCGCAGACTCCTGATGGCCGAGGTGGCGAAGACATTCCCCTGCGTGCCAGCCGCCAACACCGAGATGGAGGCTATTAGCACCATGATGTCTGGTGACATACAGAAAACCAGAAGTGATTATATGGACACTTAGGAATTCTGGGTGTGAACTGCTCTGGAAACAGAGAGAGTCATTTTCCATGATGGCCTGCCTTAGTGCCTGTGTGCTACATTGGCAATCTGTGCAGTTCTACACATTTTGAAGTACATATCAGCATTCAGGGACAGACTTGAATCAGACTCTGAAATTAAGCCAAAAATGCAAAGGGATTATTTATTATTTTATTATGTTAAGTTTGACGCATGGATCAGCATTTAGCATAAGAAACAGGACAGTAAGGTGTACATGTTTAAATAACAATTTATTTTCTTACCTATGACACAAAAAGGTTTGCGAGCAAATTTCAGCCTGCCTCTCCATCCTCTGTATCGACAGCAACACCCTGCTGACCAAATTCTTACGATGTATTCAACTCCAAATACCACGATTGTCACAATTTCCTATACACACACACACACACACACACAAAACAATAGTTAACAAGGCATTCCAGCCTAAAATTATAGCTGAACATGTTATTTGTGAGTTACGCAGTATTCTGTAGTGCAGCGTTAGAACTCATGGCCTCACTGGTTTGACAGAATTCACAATTTACATTAGTTGCATGTTTCTTATATCAGTGTTCTCCTACTACAATACCCAGCATGCATTATGCAACTATATCACTCACTCTGTGGTATTAACCAATCATGACTGTTAGTCTAAACCCCCATCTACAGGCTTATAAACACAACCAAGCTCTAATAGTGTAACTCTTGCCTCGGTTGTTAAACAAAATCATAAAAAAAAGCAGCGATTCTATCTTTATTTAGCACAAAGTGGGTGACAGAGACAAGTTTTTTACCCTTTCAGCCACACAAAAAGAGCCAAACTGAGGTAAGATATCTATTGTCAGGGAGCCACCTTGCTAACTTTAGCTTATAACTTGTTGTCCTCCTCATTTGATGAGTCATTTCTGTCCTTTCAGTAAGCCACTCTCTCCATTGTAATGATGATTTGTAGTAACTGTAATGAGATATTCAGCGTCTTGACAGTAACATTATCTGCTTTCCTTCTGTTCTTACAAACTAACAAAAAATGAACAGTTTAAAACAGCTTGTCCTCAGAGCAACTGTAGTGTTTCCAAAGTTCAAGATCCATCAGAAGAACACATTGTTACATATCAGATTTCAGATTTCATGCACTTATATTTTCAAGCTGCAAAACAGTATTAGTGAATGACTCATCCTCAAAGGTCATTAAGTGAGTAAACTTAATGTTTATAATAAATGTAAATAATAAATTGATGTATTAGTGAATAAAGCTGATTATACAATAAATCTCATACCAATATGTACAAGGCATCTTCAGAGCTTTTTTCATACTCCTTGATGGTTGAGAAGACAGAGAGGACCAGACAGGAGAAGACCAGCAAGAAACTGAAAAAGAAAGACATTTTTATTATACATTTTATATTGATTATTATTATGTTTGTTAATATCCTAAACATTTAAAGTTAACCTGACATCAAAACTGATCTTTTTAACTCTCCTGATCAGACTTTGTGGAATTCACCATAACATAAAATCTTGTTTTCTCCTAACCTTTGACCAAAGCGTAGTGCCTCTAAAATGTCTAATTTTTTATTACACCGCTGTGCACCAGGGGGCAGGAAAAATAATAAATATAAAAATATTATAATGCTTCATCTCCCACTATCCCATCTGTCACTGAGTGCAATGCTTAGTTAGCTCGGAAACATAATGTTTCACTCAGAAATACAACACAGTCTGGAAGGAAAAAGCATTATGATTTCCAAATTCGAGTTTATCAGTTTAACTTCATGGATAAAGATAGGAAACAAATAAACCCATGTAGTGAAATTGGATCACAGCTCGTACAACCTTCTGAACATTAGCGGTCTATCAGAGACAGAGGACAGACGAGAAACACACCTAATTAAACGTAATACAGTCAGCCTGTCCTTCAAATGTCTCGCTAATAGTGTTAAATGAGATTGTTTTCACAGCAGGAGTCCTGCTGCGGTTTGCAAGGTTTCTCGACAGATTCAGTACAATTCAGTAAAAAAGTGCTGAGCTGGCCAAATGCAACAGCTAACTGAAAGACATTAGACCCACCGCAGGGTATCAGCCTCCCTCTAGCACGCTAAAGACCACTGCAGCTGTATGAGTGTCCAGGAAAAGGCTATAGACAATACAGCATATTGACAGAAATGTCAGAAAATCTCCACCTTATTGGGTACCAGGCTACAACAGAGTACAATAGCGCATAGCGATACAAATAGACATAGATAGCCAGAGATATAGGGATCAAATTCTGCCTGTGGAGCAAAATGCAGTGCAGATTGTAAGTGTCTCAGATGTAGGAAAATAAATTGAGCTGTATACTGTACTGTTCTGGGGTTATGTAATATGAGACACCATTACATCTTCAACCTTGCAGCAGCAGGTAATTTAATTACAGCGGTGTTCGTTACATAACCTGCATACTTGTGCAACAGAAAAATACCTGAAATACCAGCAATTTTTTACTTAATGAATTTAATGAAAACCTAAAAAAAAGCAATATAGTTGTATGTCATCTGCTGCAGTACCTTTGCACAGCCTATATAAACTCAGTTGCCAGGTTATTAGGTACACCTACCTTATGTCTACACTAATTAGGCCATTTTTTTCAGAAACACCTGCCAGAAACAGTACTGTGTAAAAGTCTTAAGCAGAGAAAAAAAAAAGATGTTTAAAACTATTCATCTCAGCAATAAGATGAATAGAATTAGAAATGTATTAGAATAAATACCAATCATCCTGACTTCTTGGTGCACTCCAGTCATTATATTGATTGTATAAAATTACATCACCAGCTACAATAAATACTTTAAATAACTGAACAAACTGTTGAACGGGCAGTCTAGATACTGGAGATGTTTATGTCACGTCGCTTCAGTTGAGTCTCTGGCATGTGAATCTGAGTCGAGTCTTGAGTCTTTAGCAAACAATGTCAGATTAGTCTCTTTAGTAGCTACAGGCATCACACTGTGCAAATATTAAACCCTATTAGAACCTTTTCTGGTTTGATACACATTTTTGTTCATAGAAAAATCATCTGAGGCACAAAACTAAAGTGCTACAGGCAGTAAATGATGTGTTTAAAGGGGAACTCCACTGATGTTTCAGTGAAATGCTTTCTAGAGAACCTTCTAGAGAAAGTTGCCAGTCAGAATTGTTGACAGTGATGGTGGCAGGAACCAGACATCTGAAGATTTTAATGCCTCTGAACACTCCACCACAGAAAGATATTAAACGAAATGGTTAGGCTAAATAGATGCTGGCTGATCTGTGACACATTGTTTAATGACAGTTTTGTGCTAAAATTTTTGGCTTAAAATGTACTTTAATCCATTCATGGCAAAAACTTTTTTTTCAGATGTATGACTGTTTTACCATCATCAGCATTACATAAACAAACTCAAAAGAGTAGGTTCACTGGTGGTTTTGGTTAGCAATTAAAATGGCTAGGTTATAGCTATTTGTGCTGAAGGCATAGCGACCCCTGGTTTCTATCACCACCACTGTTAAGAAATCGGAGTCTGTACTTTCATCTACAATGAGCCATTTCACACCAAACCACTCTGAATGACTTTGTTTACATCTCAAGCACTGAATTATTTTGAAATTTTGAAATTTCCCTTTAACCGAATGGGGCAAAACAACTCGAAACCGTTAGTGAGTCTGTAAATTAGTTTGTAAAGCCTTAGCAAGTCGGTGTTAGCTAGCTAACGCTAGGTTAGCTAACACAGCTAGCTAAGTTACTTAGCTACGTGCTAGTCAACCGTTTCAATTTGTTTCGCCTCTTTCCTTTAAAAACGCATCTTCTGTCTGTGGTGCTGCTGCAGGAGAACATCACCGAACTAATAATTGCGCATTTCTTTTGTAAAACTAGCAGACAAAGTCAAACACGTAAACGACAAGGCAAGTTTTATACACTTACCGAATTAGTTGGCAGTCCTAATTTAATCCGTTTTTATCTCAACTGAAATTTAACGCATCTTGATTCGCGAGTCCGAGTCCAATCGCGAGTCATTCTAGGGAGAGTCTGAATCGAGTCGTGAGTCAGTTACCATATGAATCGAGTCCTAATCTCGGGATGGTAACAGTAAATACTGGATTTCCTCGAGGAGAGCTTTGGAAAAGGTTGAGCTAACGCACAGACAGACAATGCATTGTTTATTTTGTATATATTCTAAATTTACTGACTGTAGCCCATCCATTGCTGCACAATTCATCATCCTCTCTTTACCCTTTCCATCAATGGAAAGGGACCACCACAGGACCACCACTGACCAGATATTATTTGGGGGGTGGCTCATTCTCAGAACAGCAGTGAAAACAGCATGGTGGTGGCATGTTAGCAGGTGTTGTGCTGGCATGAGTGCATCAGGCACAACAGCATTGTTGGGGTTTTAAATGCTGCAGTGTCCCTGCTGGACTGAGAATTGTTCCCCAACCAAAAAATTTCAGCCAACAGTGGTCCCATAGTCAGAAACTTACCACTGATGAAGGGTAGAGGATGATTAACACAAATTATATATGGAGAAAAGAGCTTTAGTCTCTACCTGTACATATAATGTGCACCGACAAGGTAGATTTGTCCAAAGTTGTGGTCAGTAACTGCTTTTTTTGCATGTGTGTAATACAAATGGTGAACAGAGAATCTAAAAACTAGTAAAACTAGTACACAAAGCTGTTGATCCATCTGTTTGTATTGTTTGGCTTGGGTTAGACTATTCTGTCTATTCAGACCTCTTTATTCTGGGTTCACTCTTCTCTACATGCATCCTTAACAAATATCTGGAGGGAAACAGTAGCTTGAATGGTAGTATGTTTAATGAAGGCTAATTAGGAAAAGATTAGATGAAAAGAAAACATTATACACAGAAACTGAGAAACACAAATAGGAGCACAAACATATTAGTATATAAATTTGGGCCTTAGGACCTGTGTGATAGTCACAGTTGGTTGATATATGGGTTAGAACTTTAGGACCTGAAGGTAGGTTGTAGAATCAGGTGTTATCTATATTAATCCATGTTTTAGGCAACAGGCAATTTTGTGCATCCAGCTTCATGTGTTCTTGCAAGAGTGAAATTTAGTGCAGCTTATTTTGCTTATTGCAAGATCTAGTAATGACCAGTCTTTTTTTACTGTTTGAAATATTGGTCAAATCTAAACATCTCCCCTATGCTAATATTTTTTTAAGACATAATTTGCCGCTATAGATGTAATTCCAATGTCATTGCGCATCTCTAATTTTAACTTTGTTAGTCCACCTTGTAGATGTAAAGTCAGAGACGATAGCTCATCTGCTGCTGCACAGTTTGTGTTAGTCATCCTCTAGTTCTTCATCAGTGGTCACAGGACGCTGCCCACAGGACCGTGTTAGCTAGATATTTTTGGTTGGTGGACTATTCTCAGCCCAGCAGTGACACTGAGGTGTTTAAAAACTCCAGCAGCACTGCTGTGTCTGATCCACTCAGACCAGCGCAACACACACTAACATGCCACCACCATGTCAGTGTCACTGCAGTGCTGAGAATGATCCCTAATAATAACCCCAATGATACCTGCTCTGTGGTGGTCCTGTGGGGGTCCTGACTATTGAAGAACAGGGTGAAAGGGGGCTACCAAAGTATGCAGAGAAACAAATGGACTGCAGTCTGTAACTGTAAAGCTGCAAAGTGCACCTATATGGCAAGCGGAGCTGAAAAAATTGAGTATGATTGTAAATACAAGGAGGTGTTCCTAATGAAGTGCTTCGTGAGTGTATGCAGAGATAGTCTTCTTAACTTTCTCCTTTTTGGTTTAGCCTGAATTACTTTATTCACTAAGATTATTTTAGGAGTAGCCTGCTTAGGGAAGCTGCTTTCAGGCATGGTTTCTTTTTTTATTCTGCCTTGCCTAATCCATCTTCCTTCTCAGCCTCTGGTTTTCCATCACTGCCTACAACTGTTGGATGGAGTGGTGTAAAGCACGCTGCTGCATACTTTAGACCTTAAGTAGTGTAGTGTGGGGATCATGTGTGGGCAGTTTTCCACATACATTTGAAGAGCCACCATCAAAAGATCCTCTCAACTGTATCAAATTCTCTTGTCACACTCAATGAGCGAACACCCCCTAAACCATCCGATTATTTTCTCCAGCATGCACAGGTCCCCTTCAAATAAACAAAGGCAGTTTTCCATGTATTTGCACCTTAGACATGGGAAAATCTCCTCACACATAGTCCATTTACATAAGCTGTTTGCTCCGTTGTATGCACTAAATACGCTATAGGGCCACAAGTATGTAGCGGCACGCTTTACACCGTTCCAGCCAATGCTTAGCATTGCGCATAGTGATCTTAGGCCTGTGTACAGTTGCTC